TGTTTACTACTGTTTACTACTGTTTAGAAGAGTTGCAAATGGCTTATCAACCAGTAGTGAGACAAGTCATCACCATATAATTCGAACAGAGGTCGAGTGCGGTGTCTTCAACGGAGGTCATGTCGGATCGGGCGAGGGTGAGAACTCCGTTGATAGCTAGGAAGTATCAGAGGAGTCTCGTTCTATACATGCTAAGTAGCGGAAACATCAGAATCGTCTTTTGTCCAATTTGGCACCGCGCAACGAATACCCCCCCATTACCACTCGCATCTATCAGCGTGTGATACTGATGGACATTCCTCCCGAAGGCTACGGGAGATTCGTGCTGGAGAGAATCAAGAACTTGACGGAATTCAGCACGGAAACCCGGAACAAGAATACGCACGTCTTGCCGAACACCAGTAGAGGTCATGGTGTGTTCATGTACACTTGCTTGATGATGTCGCAAATCAACGAAATCTGTGAAACTGTTCGGAGGAACCGGCCTCGTACATTGAAGAACCAAAATCAACCCACTTCTCCCACGACCTCGGACAGATGTCGTCATCCCAATGGACGACTTATCCGAGACTTCCTTGGACACTTCACTAGAAGACAAAAATCCTAAGTTGCATGCCGAGTATCTAGACGACATGACGGACATTGCAAAGCGACATATTTGAGGCGGCACACCTGGAAACGGATTCGGTTGAGCTTGGCTAAGCTGCACTACTGGCGAGCGACCAACTAGTCGGCTTAGTTGCTGGGTTGACTACGGTACGTGCTGTGCATGGAGTGAGCATGAAGATGAAACCTGCTGCTCTGGTAGTTTTAGAATACAATCATATTTGATCTGTTGACTTTCTAGTAACAGGTTTAGTATATAATGGATAAATATCTGATGTAGCAGATATAGTATAATTAGGAATATTAAGACCTACTATGGGCATGTTATGAGTATTCCAAACATAAGTTATACGACGGAGCCTTATTGAATGATTAGGGAATTGTATTTTATTCACTTGAGCTTTATCATCCAAGTAATTACTGTGGGTTCATTCATCGAGGCATATGTGACAGGCTATTTTCAGACTACCCCAATGGCCTTCATGAACAGTAACACCTGCAAAAGTGTAATAAACCATTATTCTAAGGTATCGAATACCTGCCAGTCACAGAGAACTCCACGCAACCAATACGACAGTCTCACCCCAGAAACGCCGTTATGCTTGTCAGCCATTACCCAATCTATGCAAACCCCCCATTTCAACTCATGCCAACATATTGTGCTCCGCAGCAAACTCAAAGACATTAGGGTATCCAGCTGACAGCTTCAACAAGTAGCTCTCGTACGGCCCGAGTGGCTCTTCCACCAGTAGCGGCTGCCGCGGCGCCTTGTGCTCGGGGCCAACGTACTCCCACACCCAGCGTCCACCCCACTTAGCGGTGTCCTCGTCCGGGTCCGTGATGACGACTTGGTTGGTGCCCGTCAGGTCTGGATCCTGGGGGTCCCACGTCCTCGTCTTGCGCGGGATAGGATCGTCGAACTCTTGAGTCGTTTGTCGGAGTCGCCAGTTCTTCAACAGGGCAGGGCACTCCCACAACCCCTGGTCGTCGAGACCTAGACCCTTGACGGCAAGCCGGACGCGGACGGAGGGGTGGATGCGCTCGTTGGTGTCTTCGAGGAAGGTGGTCGTTTCGCGGCCCGTGAAGGAATCCACTCTCTTGTACATGCCAGGGGAGCGGGTGATTTTGCCGGCAAGGACATAAAGAGGACTCTTAGCCTTGAGGATTTGGCCCAGCGCCCAGGGTCGGATGGGGAAGTTGCTTTCGAAGATAGGGTCCATAGCCCAATGCAACACGCGAGATTTCATAAGGAATGGAAAGTGTCTCTGCCAGAATGACTCCTTTACTTGTGGCTCTGTGGCACCCTTGCTTGCCTCGAGGCGGTAGTATCTGTCAGCTTGTGAGAATACACGGCTAATCGAGCCAGAGTCGAACTCAACACCAATCGAACGTAGCTGGTCCATTATCCCTAAAACATGTCAGCCCTGGCCGCAACAAGACAAGTGTGCAGATCTTTTGACAAACTTACATGCAAGAGACATGTTTGCGACACCTTGATCAGCCCATCCTCCGCCCACATTTCCATGATTGCCGGGAAACCAACATTGACGAAGGTTAGTCGTGTGTCTGTTGGCGGCTCGGCGCTCCCAAAGTGCAGGGCTAAAAGGGGGACGATGCTCATCGAGCGCCAGTGCGTGAAAGGCGTTCTCAACGCGATCGGATAGAGCCGTGTCATAAAATCGGTATGTAGATGAATGTTAGCCGACGAAGTTACCGCCAGGTGTTGGGTACTTATTCTTTAGTGCAATGCTGGATGCCAAATTTCGAAAGCCAAGAAACTTGGGGCACGCCCAGGCTTCCAACAGTATCCCATACAGCTATTCAGATCTAAATCAGCAAGAATTGTGCGAATCAAGTGGACAACCACGTACCAACTGCTTTAACGGTGATTAGCTTGCCCTTACCGTCATCTTGATAGACACGAGTATAGCCTTTCTGCTTGAAATTAGCAATGAGAACTTGCGAGGTGACCTTCCTGCACGCACCTCGAGGAGCTTCTGCCTGTATGTCTCCTCGGCATTGTCGCCCCAGGGCTTGTTCGGAAAAGGATCATTCGGGAACGGGTCGTCATAATGTGGTGTCCGCCAGTTTTCCATGTCCTTGAAGATTGAATAGAAATGCTCCATGCCCTCTCTCGTCAGCAGGCCAAGGTCCCCGATCATCCCGGCCACACTCCTCGCAGTGAAGGCTCCCCTGCTCATATATCAGTTCGCTGATCTCGAGCCATCTCTATAGTCCGACTGGCAGTTTGCAGACTCACCGTGAGAAGCCAATGAGAACGATTTCATCGCCGTCGACATAGTTGGCACAGATGAAAGAATAGGCTTCGCGTATGTGCTATTGCGTCTCAGTTTGCGCTGTCATAGTGAAGAGGGCCGACTCTCTTACCTCTGCTATTCCGTACCCGAAAGCGCCTCCGGTTAGGATATCAGCCATTGTGCTCCCGGTGCCAACGCCGGACTGATACTCGATGATCTGTACTGTGCCATCTGCACAGCGTCGCTTGAAAGACCGCGAGATCCGAGTGACGTTGGAGGGGATCTGGATCTTGCCCTTGGGGTTGAGGATCGTGGGCTCCTCGTAGCCGGTGTCACTGTTCATCCATGTGCCGTCACAACATACCAGAAGCCGCTTCTTCTGGTTCGGCGAGTATGTGGTCATTTTAGGGCAGTACGAAGGGAAATAATAGGAGAAGAGAGGCTAGCAGGAACAGCAAAATGGACAATGTAGAATAGTTACATGCAGATATAACAGAGAACTTGAAGAGTAGCAGAGTCGCAAAGAAGAGGCTAAAACATCAGGATTCGCAGATCGGGGACGGGTGTCTTATAAGTCTTCTGAAGAGACCTCCGCCAAGACAAGTAGGAAGGCTGAAGAGTCTGTAGATCCAGGATACCAATCGGGCAGGCCTATCTAACGATGGGCTGACGCTTTGATCAGGAGGAAAGCAGATTGAGGCTTAGGAGAGGACAGAGAAATAGCAACATGAGGAAAGAGTGTGTAAGACAAGACCTAGGTAGGTACCTTGCCTTAGTGTATGTATGGTGAGAGACATTGAGCAACGCGAGAATGCCTGTCGTGAGCCTCGAAGGAGGGCAACAGCAACATCACCACAGCCACTCCTTCCGCGGCTGTCAAGTCTACGCCAAGGAATTAGGAGAATGGAAAAGGTACCTACAAGAGATGGCATGTGTCAATGTCCATACCTAGTGCGTATATTGCGTAGTAAATGATCTACATGGATTGTCTGTCAGAGTGGAAAATCGTCGACGTGACGTCTTGGCGAGAAGCTGATGGTTACCCAGCCAGAGTCTTGGGACACCCCGTAAAAGTGGCCTAGTCCAGGTTCGGTTCTTTCCTCATTTCAGCAATAGAGAGGGACCTTCCTTACCTGATCTGGAATGAAGTCGGCTGGTAGGCTCATAAGCGGAGATGAGGACAAAAGAGCAAAATAGATGTAGCAGGGGTAGCATGTAGGGCTGATACTTCTACTTCCCCGGTAGACGGCGACTGTGAGCCCATTTCGAATTTCAGCCCGTTCACGGTTGTACATGCAGAATGGTACGTGCGCCCCGGATCGTCCATGTTGGAGTTGCTATCGCCATCACATTACGCCGCAGATCCTCGAAGGATTCGCTGGAGGGTCGGGAGGCTGAAAGATGAGAGACTTTGTGCAACGGTGCTGGCAAACATCTGACGACTGTGCAACACGGCACAAATGTGCTGCCACATCACACAGTGACTACCTTGACCGAGCAGCTACTTGATACTGGCGAGACAAGTCATTAACTGGAGAGGGCACTGTCTCTGCAGCATTGTAATCGCTAGGATCATCTCGAATACGGCCACGTGAGTGGATTGCCTGTACAGTAGACATGGAGTCGAAAGGAGATAGTGCTCACACAGCTTTTGTCCTTCGTGGGCCGTGGGGAGCTTAGCCACGATGTGATGGATGGAGGTGAGTGGCAGCGCCGTATTCCGTCCAAACTTCCCAGACGATCCAGAGATGAATACGCCCCATCTACGGCCCATCCCTGCCTGTATGGGGCAGCCGTCCGGCACCTAACTGGCTGAGCTGGGGTATGACGGGCGCCCCGTCTTACCACTGACATAGGCGAGATGGTTTAGGTTTGCAGGGGCTTAGGCTGGGCTAGTTTAAGGTAGGGTAGGCCCGTAATAAGGCCATGATCGCCGACTGCAAAATCGGCTTGTCGCGCTTCCCGCCCGCCGTTACACCAACCACGATCCCCTCGAGCATGCGGAACTTTTCCACACTTGACCTGTCATCGTACCGCAAACAGCTACTTGGCGCGCTCCGCCGCCGCAGTCTCGAGGTTCAGTAGGTTGTGTATGGTGAAGAGACAAAGCAAGGCCCTCCACACCATCGCCGGCTCTCTGCCCTACAGGCTACATAGAGTATTTGACTAGACCAGGGACCTGGGGTTCGTCAAGGTAGGATTTAGGTAATCATCCCTTCTCTGACAGCCTTCCATCCCATCTTGGTCCCCGATCCTTTCCTAGCCGGGAATGAAGGAGCCGAGAGCCGCTGCAGGCTTGAACATCACCAATAATAGACATACGTGCTGCCCGATATAATTCCATCACACTGATTGAACTGACTGACTCGCCGGCTGTCGTCTCGTACGGGCGACAATCTGCGTCCACATGCAACGCAACACCGGCTGTGCGCTGACCGAATGAGTCTCGAAGCGGTGAAGATATGTACAGTATCTTATGTAACGTACCGATCTACTATGTATCAGCCTGTCAACCTGTCAAGACTGCGGCGGCCACCGGGTCGGCCCGGCCAGACTTCGGTCTCCCAACTTCGGCGCCCCGAAACCCACCCGATGCGGCGTTCATCGAGGTCCCCGAGCCGGGGATGCCCACCGCCTAAATTTTATCTGCACCAGAAAAGGGGCTCGACTACAGGCGGATTTTCAAAAACCCAAACAACGTGCATTTCCGTCTGTCTCATGAACCATTTCCCTTCTAAAACTAGATCCTGGGCAAAGCGACCAGCAAATTTCTCTCTTTGGGAAGTGCAGCAACCCGCCGAGTACTGGTAGGACTCATATTCATATCGCCTTTGGTCTCAATTGAAGACCTCTGGTAATTAACTAAGAGCTTTTCTTCACAGGAGTGAAATTCGGACCGGGGAGTGTGCGAGCCTGCCCCTAAAGTTTTCCTTACTTAAATCGAAATTCATTGTCTCGTAACTGTTCGATGAGCTGAGGCGATGGCCATGCTAACACCAAGAAGCCTTGCAATACAGGTATGACAGTACTCAACTCGTTCACGAAACGAATACCAAATTTCTCCCGGCTCGATTCTCAACCAATCTCCTTTCATACATCGTGCCCAGAGCGGAAAACAGTACCTGACCCCGACTTCGGCAAGGGAACCATGGGTCGAGACATGTATATATCTTCTAGAACATAATCGGCAAGAAGATAGCTTGGTGGCATCCGAATTCCGTTACGGTGATCGCTCTCGTCATGGTTTATAGTGTTTGCGGCACGGCAGGCCCCGCCTGCTTGTAATTGACACACTCTGTAGAGCTGGATTCACTGCTCGCGTCAAATTTGAGACCTCTACTTGCTCAGATCCTACGCATCTGACCATCCTTTTTGGATGGTCTTCTTTTCCAGTGTTCTTAAGTCCACAAAGTCGTTGTTTCAAACAGTCTACGCACATCGAGAATAAGCTGAGGAGAACAGCATCTCATCGAGGAGTGCATGGGGTCTGCTGGCGATCTGAGTTAACCCGGACCAAATTGTTTGAGCCAAGTGGAACTCAATCATATTTATGTCGACCCTGACTACGCTGAGGGCGATGACTTGCCTCTATGATGCATACTGTGGCCTGTTTATGGTTACTTCAGCTCACCTGCTTGCCAGATTAGCGTTGAATCTAAGGTACAACTCCAGACTAAGACGGGCAGCAGCAATGCTCTGCTGACGAGACCCGCCCCTGATTCCTGCCCTGCAGGCCTCATTTTTATCTTATCAATCCATCTACAAAGCCGTCTTAATTGTACATCGGCTTCCAAGTGCTCAGTACTCCCACTTGCAAAAGATTGGCTTGATCCTATTGAGTCCGCGGATGATTTGTTCGGATTACCGTGCAATCATGCACACCACAGCCCTATGCTGGTTCAGACAATATGATGGCAACAGAGGCATATTAACAAATGACGTACATATATTGAATAGGCCATGATGATTCGATGGTATTTCTGCACTTTGTACGAGGCAAGAAGCCCAAGATTGTTGAGAAATCATGTGTTGCTGCCTGACAAGGCTGGGAAACAGTCTATATATGTGCTTTCTCTTCTCTTCGCAAATATGGAATTCAGCAACAAAGTTATCGCTCGGCTCCTTGGCGCGTCAGACACAAATAAAAATTACAAGTGTCTCAAATATCTGAGTGTCAACAATGTCTGATAGACCTGAACAACCCCAACAGCCTCCTGGCGCCGAGGAACGCTACCGTGAGGCCCACAGGGAGCACGCCGTTGCAAGACTTGAGGGTTCAGCCGCTCCTGTACCAAACCCTGAGGACAGCAGCACTGTATGTTTTATATTACTCCACATCTTAGACTAAGACTCAGTGGCTAACAATTCCTCCACAGTGGCAGGGCGCTTCGAACGCGAGACAGACAAGGCGTGAGGGGCTTGATGTCACCGACTTCGTGGCCGGTCGTGGTGGCAATGGGAATTAGTCTAGTGTCATGCGAGCTTTGAACAGACTTGGAGTAGAGATGGTTGTCAGTTACGCAATGTACTCGATAGAGCCATCTACCAGCGTTGCAGGAGGAAATTACAGGTTCCAATGACAATGATAATACCTGGACTGCATGTGCAGTAGTCACAAGCAAGCTTTCTCTAGTTGCATTTTGCGATCGAGAACCCGCTGGGGTAAGGAGGTGGTCGTCCAGGCAGGCCCCGTCCGATCCACCGCCTCCGATCTATCGGATGCAGGGTATTTACATAATGGTGTTTTCCAGAAGCTTGCTCGTTCTAAAAGTACAAGAAGCGACGGCCGCAGCTTGGCTGTCGTTGATCTGCAAAGTAGAAAGGCGCTCGCATCATTTTGTCTTATTCCAAAAAAATCAATACAAAATCCAGACCATCTCCGAGGCTATTGACCATGTTCTCGCCTACTGTGAATATTACGAAGATTGGGCCCCTTGCAATCTTTTTTACTAGCACTCTCCAGAAACTCATCGTCACCCTTGTGGCCTTCTCAACTCTGGGTTTCGCCATGCCGGCTGACGGCAACAACCTACAGGCTCGTAGCGACCGCTATGGCTATTCTGATTACAACGCATGCGTTGCAGGAAAGCAGGTAACAGACTGTGTCAACATGGGCCTCAACTATAGATATTGCATTATCCCGATCCAGCAGGAGTGCCTCACGGCTTGTTAAGTAGTGTGTTATATTTCACCCGAGGGGAGATTAGTCCATAAATGAGCAACCATGGGGTTCAGTTCCTCGTTTAGACAACGTCTTGACGAGAGGTTCACCCATATGTGCTTGTTACTGTAGTAGCTAGAATCGTCACTTCCCAAATCAGGCTCTGGCCATGAGTCCTATTGAGGCAAACTTTCCTTGTGGAGCTTCAATTCAGCTTAAGCTTATACATTTCAATAAATTTCCGCAAGGGATGTATTTCAATTAAACGTGTGCTGTCTGAATTTAAACCGGAGGGACTCTTCAGTTTGCTTTAAACTTCGTTAACATTCAGTCCCATTTTCGTGGATGTGGCAATTGAGTCCAGGTACACGAAGCGTATCTCTTCCACCTGAGGCCCACGATTGGCAGACTTGCAGTGACTTTGTCAGGCACGAAACGACACAATTTCGATGGTATCCACCGAAATGGACACTCCCCACGGTAAAGCTATCATCAGCTATTCCAGCCACTATACTACGCGGTGTGCTTGCCACTCATCGAAGAGCCGTGTGCCTTGTTATATGCTGTTTGAGATTTTATCTGCATCGATTCAGGGCCTTGAGGCCTTCACACCTTGTGGACGAATCATTTGAATACGAAAATAGATGGGATGGCATTGACGTTGCCGACAGGATCTGGGCATTCCAACAGACATCTGACGAGAAACCATATCCGGTGCGCGATATCGGCCCGCCTACTTGGGTTGAGGAACAGCGTCTTCTTCGAGCTTTCTGGCGTCTGCAGCTATTTCGTGACTTAAAGAATGCTGCTCAAACTTCTCGTCTTGGCTGGCCGGATGATGACGTCAAGAAATTTGAGGAGAGCACCGTTGTCCAGTTGCATGATGTTCCTTACTGGGCACTGGGACACGCCCCTGACATCTTATTTGAACTACATGTATACTCTTGGGCCGTCATATTTGAGCACCAACTAATCTGGTCGGTCGTGAATTACACCGAGGAAGATAAAGAGACGATTACAGCACCGAAGTTCTTACAGACGAGGAGAGACTGGTCCACTCCTGTTAAGAGAGAGGGAGACCAGGAGACCCTGGACGGTTTCTCATCAGCAACCTACAATTTCTTCTACGTGGTCACAGGCCCGAAGAGCAGCTTCAAGTGGAATGGACGGTCGTCACCATTACTATATGTCTCCTTTAAACCTTTTAGGCGCTTGGGTTTTGCCATTTGGTCCGCAGAAAGAATGTTTGCTTATGGTCTCTTACAATCTGTAGAAGGAGGCGGCTTGGATGATCAAGAGCCTTTTCCCCGTAGCTCAGTACTTCTGGCCTGGAGAAGGGTCCTTGGAAGTGATGAACGGGCGGAAGCGCAGAAACGATTTGAAGAAGTCGTCGAATTTTGCACTCGACCGGAGTCAGATTTCGAATACAACTCAGACCCAGAATGGAGTTATCCTGCTCAACCTACTTCTTTTGGTGAACCGAATTATCAGTATCATTGAAGAGGTCTTGAGAAGCAGCAATTCCGCAGTCGTACCGAGCCATGACAGTAGCTTAATACATGAGAATTATACCCATTTGAACTGAGCACATTTCGAACTCAATCATGATCATGGAACTCTCACCGGTAATAGACAGAACCTTCGAGGCCTCGAAGAAATAACATGCCATTTGCCATTCAGTAAATCTGCCTCTAATGGACTAACATCTACGAACCTGGCAATGGAGGATGATTCATAAAATGGAATTGCAATATCTATTCTAGAGGCCCTCGTTCCTCCAAGAAACTAATGCAACCTAAGATAATAGTGTGGGGGCCTTTCGCCAACTACGGCAGCTCCCGCAGTCACTTACCCAACTGAACCATTCAGGATTCCGTAGCGGCTGGACTCCACACAAAGAGCGCCTTCTCAACCTTATCTGGAGGATGAACCCCTCCTTCTTCTCACTCTCGCAACGATGAGAGAGATGGCGCAGCTATTTGGAGGCTTTTGCCATCATGACCAGCAACCGTGGAGCTGACATTTTAGACCCGGTTGATGCGTTCTTTGCTCGCTGCGACTTGCCCGTGAGCATACGAGCACAATGCTGGGACTTTGTCCGCTCTCGGTTTCCTAATGTGGAAATCCAGGAAGCTACATCACAAGGTTACTGCTCGTATACCTTCTGTGTAGGCCCAGACACTATTGTTCAATTTCGCCCTCCAGCTCACCGGCTCGACATTGCGCTCGCAAACTCCGCAAGTAAGGTATATGGGATAATCGCGCCGAAGACAGCTTATCTTGGATCCTTGGCTGGCTCGGGTGAGATATCGCAGTCTCACTTGAAACATGGAGTCGAGGCTGGTCATACGGAACACGATATTGAGGACACTCTGTTTTACGTGTACTCCCTGACTAGGCTTCCAGGAATTACATTGGCGGAGTTCCACACATCTCGTTGTACACCTTCACTAAGCGAAGTGTATATCAGTACCCATCGGAAGTCTCTGATTCGTGACTTTGCTGCCTTCATAGCGACCGGTTGGCAGCATTCTCGCGCTCAGCATATCACACCAGCAGTTCTACCAAAAGGCAAAGTTGGTGCTTCTATCAGATTGCGGCTAGAGTCAAATGCGAAGGTCGCTGCCTGTGCGATTTCTACCTTTTGTCGAATCAGTGATTCATAACTTGCCCTCAATCGAGTCGCTCCCTTGGACGCTAACTCATGGGGACATTGTTCCATCCAATGTCATGGTGGACGCAACAACTCCAGGCCAGCTTCGTCTCTGCGGCCTTTTGGATTGGGCGGAGGCAGAATACCTTCCCTTTGGCGTCGGCCTCTACGGAGCAGAAGAGCTATTGGGCTTTAAGGTTGCCAATGGCGACTTTCATTATTTCCCAGATGCCGATGCATTACGCGAGGTGCTGTGGTCAGAACTCGCCGTCAAAATACCAGAACTAAGGGACCCGACATTGCGAATGCGTAACTTGATTAAATCAGCAGAGAATCTAGGCATGTTCCTTTGGCATGGGATTGCGTTCGACAATGGCAAGTTAGATCGGGTGGTAGAAGAGGGCAAGGACGACGAGGAGATCAGAAGGCTCGACCTCTTCTTCTCACGGCGAATGGCTTTTCAAGGAAATATGTTAGCAGTAAATGCAGACCGCGGTCAGGCCTCTAAATCAGTGGGGGATTCATCGATTAGTGCGACATTGGCCTCTGTGACGCGTTTGAGGTCTGGCCTGTCTCTCGGGAAACTCTGAAGGATAGCACTAAACGATGATTTATTTAGATCTACAAGAGCCTTTACGAGATCAGGTAAATGTTGTATTGATTTCAAGGTGTTTAGAGAACAGTGCATCGTTGCTGTTATTTAGCATGTCGATGAAGTCACTTATACCGATCTATCATGTAGTCTGGTCTCAAGTATTGTTTTTTTAAAATTAGATTTTAAAATAACCCACTATCTTATATCACTTAAACGCCATAGTGACCGTCAAGACGGTTTTAAATCAAGAAATGAGATTTCAAGTCCGTCACTCTTCCGGCTGCTGTTCAAGGAAATCGAGTCAGTTAGTGAGTGGACCCAGCAACATCGGCACCGAAGCGGGAGCGCCGTTCCAGCAGCTTCTACGGGCCAAGGCCGGGATTTAGTGGCTTTAACGGCCAAGTGCGGGGCTGTCCATCGTCAGTCGCGGAGGAGTTGTGCATCGGCACCTAGACCGGCTAATGGGGCAGCACGCCTTACTAGCATAAATGATGGGAGGCTTAAACTTGGCACTGATCTATGTGATATCACATACCCAGAATACCTTCAGAGTGTTCCACTCTATTCTGTGAAAGCTGCTTCATCTGCAATTGTCAGAGCTCAAACATGGCGAGTGCAGCTTGTAACGAATTGCCGCCTGTCTCGACAGAATACACCACTAAGGGCAGGTATGAGACTATCGGGGATATCAAGACTTGTGAGCTCCCGTATACTTGCTCTTCATGGCATTGAATGTTTTAGGATATCGCTCACACAGTGATAGACATTGTTGGACCTGAAGATGCGACCAAGGCAGTCATAGACATTTATGATGTCTTTGGTCTTGCGCCGCAAACTTTACAAGGTGCAGATCGCCTGTCTGAGCATATTGGCACCTTAGTACTGGTTCCAGACTTCCTGCTTGGTATATATGCTCAGGCTGCTTGGTTCCCCGTTGATACGCCTGAGAAGCAAAAAGCAATGAGCGACTTCAGAACCGGGCCTGCGGGAATTGAAGCCAATGTTGAGAGACTCTTGAAGTTTCGCAAGGCGCTTTCCGAAAAGTACCCTGCCGTAGACGACCACACTGCTGTTGGCGGCCTTTGCTGGGGAGGGTATGAGCCCACGTTGCATTTCATATCATTCAAAGTAGCTGATTCGGGTCACAGTAAGGTCGCAGTCATCGCAGCCGGGCCAGGAAACGAGGGCCTCGGAAGGAAGTTCACAGCGAGCTGGACAGCGCACCCAGGGTGAGTGAAATCGCGAATTACGAATTCCAAGAAGTGGCTCGACTGACAACAACAACTTAGTGGACTGGACGCCAAGGATGGCGAGGCTCTCACAGTTCCACACATCTTGCTCGCTTCGCCAGGCGAGCCGGCAGATGTCGTTGCAAAGTACAAAGAGATCCTCTCACAGCCAGGCAAGGTAGGCCATGTCGAGACTTACGGAGACATGTTCCACGGATGGATGGGCGCCAGAGCCAAGCTGAATGACGAGACCAACGCTCGGCAGTATGAAAAGGGCTATAAGCAGGTGGCCGAGTTTCTTGCCAAGTATATTTGAGTTTCGTGCCGATTCGGTAGGACAAGACGAGGTCTTTTAACCTGATGAGGAGCTATGGCGTCGATCGATTTACTATTCTGCAGGAATGTTCAGAATTAAATAAGCCAATTCATTCCCATTTTAGACAAGCAACCTAGAAAGCTGTTCCAATAGCCGCTTCACATCGTAATTTGCTTTTGGTATGCGCCGTTGATGTTAGGTATTAAGCTTGTTCGCCGATTGCTACCTTGTTGACTGAGTGGGGCCTATTTGTACTATTTTGCCTGCCGGAATCCGAAGTGTGGCTGGTGCACCTTAAAGTTACACCCAAAGGTCCCGCCATGCGCTCAGAAACCTTCGTTCTGCTATATCATCATAACGATCCCTGCGCACGCGCCCAGGCACCATGAGCAAACCGGGGCTTTCTTTCGGCCTGAACCTCACCAAAAAGCCCGGCCTATCGAAAGGTGTTCCCTCGAGAAAGAAACCCACCTTTGGCGGCGACGATGACTCCGATGACGAAGGCCAGAACACCTCAAAAGGGAACGAGGTCATAATATCCGAGCTAGACGATTTCTCCTCAGCATCTACCTCCAACCAAAAGACTTCCTTCAAGTCAAAAAATGGCCCACCTTCAGGGCCACCCAAGCTCAAGGCCAAAGGCGCGCCGATGACACAGTTCGGTGACCTGTCCAGCGCGCTGTCGTCGCGCAAATACGCAGAGCAAGCCGAAGAATTAGACCCCTCGGTTTACGATTACGATGCTGTCTACGATACCTTTAAACCGCAAAAGAAGGTGGAAAAGAAAGATGTGGAGCGCAAATCCCGGTACATGGCCGACGTAACGAAGGCCGCGGAGGTGCGTGAGCGCGACCGGTCGATAGCGGAGCTCAAGAAGATCCAAAGGGAGCGCGAGGCCGAAGGCGACGAATACGCCGACAAGGAGAAGTTTGTCACAGAGGCGTACAAGGAGAAACAGGAAGAGGATCGCCTGCATGAGGAGGAGGAGCGAAGGAGAGAAGAGCAAGAAGCGAAGAAGAACAAGCTGGGCGGCATGACTGGCTTTCACAAAGAGCTCCTGGAACGGGAGGACCAACGGCGGGCTGAGATCGCAAAAGCCGCAGAGGAGGTGAAGAGGACTGGCGGCAGGAAAGAGGAGCCAGAAGAAGAGGAGAAGGAAAAGACAGAAACGGACATTGCTATGGAGATCAACGAACATGGTGGTTCTATCGCCATTAACGAGGAAGGGCAAGTCGTCGACAAGAGACAACTACTTAAAGGTGGTCTAAATCTTGGCGCGAAGAAGAAACCGGAAGCCAAGAAGGAGGAAAGCCGCAATACCGGAGGCTCAGGCCCCCGCGACAGCGGAAAGGGTTACTTTGCGCCTGGAGGTAAGCAAGCTATGCGCGAGAGGCAGACTCGTATGCTTGAAGCACAACTTGAACAAGCTCTCAAGAGGTCGCGGGATGAAGAGGAAGAAGAGAGAAAGAAGATCGAACAAGAGGCAAAGACAAGGAAGACCACAAGCGAGATATCGAGTGCCAAGGAGAGGTATCTTGCGCGAAAGAGGGCGGCAGAAGAAGAGAAGAAAAAGGCTCTTGAGCAGCCACCTTAGTGTAGATATAGGTAATAGCTGTAACAAAATTCGCACTCGATTGATGCGCATCTTTTCCAAGACTGAAGAAGAGATTCGCCATATGCTCCGGGGCATCCCAAATGTTACAGTTGATACATACAAGTACATTGACCCGGCACTGACATGCTGTCTATAGCTCCCGTTCCTTTGATGTAACCGAAGTCGTAGACCATCCTACGACCATTGCTATGTTTGATGATACAAAATAACCGTCTGATTTCGCAAGCGCGCTCATAGACCCGAGTTTCCGACCTCCTGTTGTATCCTGCGTAGGTATGAAGCGTTGACCTGGTTCCAAGCTGCCATGTATTTCTCCATGCATTGAGTAACGCAAGTCTGCTCGCCGCTCGAAACGGATGTGCCGGGCTTCGGAATGCACTTCTCGAAGCAGTTCTCGTTAATCTTCTAGAGCGAGGCATTCTGGTTAGATCTAGGAAAATACTACCGGGCATTGTGATGACAACGTACCTCGATCAGCTGGCGGGCATTGTTGGTATTCGACTCTAGCAGGATCTGCTTGATAATCGCTTGCTTCACTGAGTTGGAGTCCATGTTGTACAAGACGTCGGTATTCGGCGGAGTAGATTTATGGTGACGAGATGCTCTGAGAATTACTAGCAGTTGGGGTTGAAGAATCGATGAAGCTCTGGAAAATCAATTAGTTTTAGGTGTGGCGGTGCGGCCGAATCTCTGTGGCTTGGTTTAGCTGGACAGGGGTAGCTCCTTGAAACATGTGGCAGCAACTATCAGCGAACCCCGGATTCCTGCACGGGGCGCCCGTCTAACAAAAAGGCCAGCTCACGGGTTGTGGTATAACCATTACTTACATTCCTGTCGCTGACTTTCTCTCCAAGTCGCCACGACCAGCTCCCTCGCACCTCTTCTTCTTTGTGCCACGCGCTCAGCCAAGAGTGCCTACTCTTTTCTTTGTTTCGCTTCTTATTTCTGGTCAGCAGGCTTGCAATTTCACTTTAGCAGACGATGTGGTTTTCTACGTCGTTGTCAGCCCTGTGGCTGGCAACGTTGGCTTGGGGAGCTGTCAGGCAAGACGAGGATGGCAACGTCAAGAGCATAGGCGTGCGTTTCACCCTTTCATGGCCACCGAATTGCAATCTCAGCGTTGCTAACATGAGAACTTAGTTGAGAACACATACTCTAGTTCAGGTTCGATCCCCTCTCCTGATGTCATGTCTCACGCGACCGAAGCTTGGACTAACATCGCGACTTCCAGCCCTACCTCGATTCCGACATGCAGAGTCGGTGGTACGACTTTGGAGGCGACACGATCATCCGAACGGACCAGTGCGTCTTACCTTAGGCTCGTGTACAGTTTCAGTATTTAATTTGTGGCTTGCAGATACATCCGTCTTTCTTCAGATCGACCGTCGCAGAACGGCTGGCTCTTCTCAAGAGTGCCATTGACCGCCACGAATTGGGAGATTGAGGTCGAGTTCAAGATACATGGCAAGAATCAGCTATATGGTGACGGTTTTGCCATGTGGCTCACGAAGCAACGGGGGCAGGTTGGACCAGTCTTTGGAAGCACTGACAACTTCGAGGGTCTCGGGATCTTCTTCGACACGTACAAGAATAACAGGCCCGGCGTCGTATTTCCCTACGTCATGGCCATGTTCGGCGATGGGAAGACCGGATACGACAAGGACACGGACGGAAAGAGCACCGAGTTCGCTGGCTGCTCTGCCAGGGGCATCCGACATGCCAGTGTTCCAACGAAGTTCCGCTTGACTTACTTCCAAGACAAGTACCTGAAGCTCGAGCTCCAGTATAAGTCGGAGGACGAGTGGACGCTATGTTTCGAGACCAACGAACCCCCAGCAATTCCCCAGGTTGCGTATCTCGGCTTCAGCGCTGAGACGGGCGAGCTGAGCGACAACCACGATATCATCTCCATCAACGCCAAGAATCTCTACACCTCTCAACCGACCGGCCGCCCCACCCCTGGTAGCGGACGAGGAAGGAAATCTCCTCCGCCAAAGACGGGCGGTAGCTGGACATGGTTCTTCATGAAGATCATATTCTTCTTCTTGGTTGTTGGAGGAGGCTATGTTGGCTACACGGCGTGGAGAACAAACCAGAAGCGGTCGCATCGATTTTAAGCCATGGAGACGAGTCTGGATGCCGATGAATAGGAGTTAGGGAGAATTCAAGAAAAAGTACATAAAACATGCATGCCCAGGCAAGGGTCGGCTTTTTTCGTTTGTTGTCAAAGCTCATGAGCTCCTCCTACGACATTTGTATGATATGATTGATATTCGCAATCGCAAATTGTTCAACGCAATCAACGCAGTTCCTCTGCTGAGGGCCTTACTGGTCTCAGTTCATGGCATTATGATCTCGCAGGATCAGACACGAGCTGATGAGGCCCAAAGCAAAACACTCCAGTCTCTATTTTGTTTTGCTTCACGTTGTTCGATATTGAGCCGATTTTGATAGACCCTTATGGTATGGTCTTCTGATTTTTCAGGAGAGAAATCATATGCTACGCAAGTGTCGCATTGACGAAGGACCAAGGATTGCTTTGAGGCATATAGATGGTGCCGGACAGGGTTCGCACACTCTTATCAGATGATATAGACGAGGTATAATTGCCTCCTGCATGTGCGCATTTTTGCATGCATGAGTGGGAATATGTTATTAATACGGAAGGGTCCGAAGGGACTCGCCTTCTGCGAGCTGAGACTCCCTACCACAGGCACTACATACCCAGCTTGCATTAATTATCAAGATGATGCACTTGGATCACATGTCCTCATCTGCAACAATCTCTCCGCAGTGGGATACACTTGATCAGTAAGAGTGGCGTTATTAAGCAGACCATGCACAAGACTCGAGCATATCAGACAGGTGGGCGGGCTGGTTCCCTTAAGAATCGGCAGATATGGCAGAATACGTGCGCAAACATATGGGCCTAGTATTTGACATGCTGCACAAGTGAGAAGCCACCCCTGCCGCACGAGTCCGAGTTTATCGAGTTTCTTAAAAGTATCGAGATCGGGGAGACCGCGCACAGAGGCTCCTCCTCTCCACAACACTTGCATGCATGCAGGATGTGCTGGGAAGGCAGAGGGATCAGCGCTGATCTGAGAGGTTGAGCAGCCGAGAGCTGCCCCGAGATAGGCCTGGTTGCTTTCTTATTCTCGCATCGGCGGTCCAGTAAGCGTATGACGACTTTGCAGGCTATCGAGGGACATGCAGTCAGTCTTCACTCTACCGCCGCCGTGCAGCGCAGTTCTGTCTTTAGCCTCCTGCAACCCCGCCAGTTATGATGGCCTGAACAGACGGACATTGAGAGACAAGTGGAAATGACGATGGTGGTACCTTTGACGGTGAGGCGCTAGACCTGGAGGGGGTGGTCTTGGTCGATCGGAAGGGATAGCAACCCCACCATCGCCTGGTCTTGCCGATGCAGTTTCCAGCTCGCCTTGTCTTTTTACCTGACCCTTGCCCGTCTTTCTGCTTGCTTCATTGCCTGATTGATTGACTTCTTGATTGTGCTGCTGTGCTGTGATTACTATGTAACTCATGAATGCTCTGTACTGCGGTTTGTAGGTAGACAGGCGAGCGGTGCATATCCCTCGAGCCAACTTGATCAACATTTCGAGTCCAGAGGTTGGAGGTTATCCTCTCTACCTCTACCTCTACCTACCCACCACCTACTTACTTCACCATCTCACTTCTCTTCACACCAGAAGTACCCAGAGCGAGAGCCAGTGCCTGTCACAAGCCGTCGATTTGTGCCCAGTGTCTCTCTCCGTGTCCAGCTGAACTGTCCGTTTCTCTTTGAGACAATCAAAGCTCTTATTCTTGAACGAAGCTGGATTTGATCACTGTCAATTCATCTGCAAATCAACCAATCTCGGCCCTCCAATCGCTTCCCCTCCTTCCAGATTCCATCTGGGCAGGTTCCGGCCAAAGGCCTCTCTGGTTACCTTTACAAAGTAACTTGTTAGTTATCTGTCTGCCTTTCTGTGTGTCCGAACCGGAAGTGGCCCAGTCCCGCGCCTGAAGCCCCGCCCGCCCATCTCGACGCCTACCTTCCGCAGCTCCCCAGCTCTCTCTTGTGCAAGCTTCCTGGCCCCGCCGGCTCCAAATCCAGCCCAAATCCTACCTGCGTACCTCCTCTGCCTCCCGACGCTTGATTTCTGCATCTTTCCTATCCCAACTCAACGAGTCGCCTCAAGGCTGTTTGGCATTGCAGTCGTCTGGCGACAATTGATCTCTTGCTGCATCATTGCCGTCTCGCAGCTTCCAATTGCTCCTCAAGCTCGCTGCATTTGGTGGATTGGATAGCGCTTTCCTCTGGTGACGACATCAGGCCTGGCCCGTCAGCCCATTAACACACCCACGCAGCTAGCTTTGGAAAGCACCGTCCACTACGAGAGAAGAGTTCACGGCTTTTCTCCTTTCCTCCAAAGATCGTCAAACGACCGAGTCGCCATCTTTTTGTCTATTTGCCAAGGCTCTTATACTTCAGCGCCATTCTTTGTGTGTTCCGGTCTCATCTGCTACCGTCTGAAGTGTGCCCCGTATCGGGTTAAAGGTGCATTGCCGCAAAGAAAGAAGACGGAAGGAACAATCGACCTCGCAGACCCCACCTGCCCCAGTCCGGCTTCCGTCGTTGATGCACAGCTTGTGTATCCTTCCCAGATCATCACTCGAGGCTGGATTCTGTCAGGGAGAACGCCGCTGGTGAAGCCTCATTCGGCGTTCCAACTCTTCACTTGTCTCTGTCGCCCTAAGCTTTTGCAGGCTGCTCCACCGTCAACCATCTCCCAGAGAAGACCTCCTGGTTGTAACTGGATCCCAGCACTGGCACTTCACTCTCTTTGACGCCTTCAACACCAACATCCCCGACTCACCACACGCACTTTCCCCAGCTGTCACGTACCTGTAGTTGGGCTACAGACCTCTAGCCTTTACCGTTCCCGATATACTTGATGCCTACCCTCGGTTTCCTCAAGAAAAAAAGGACCAGGGAGGGCGCCTCAGACCCCTCCTCAGCTAGTCAGCCCACAAGCCCCGTCACGCCGACTGCCACAAGAGCCTTCGATTCGGGCGCCGCTCCTGCCTCCTCCAATTCCAGCTCTTCGCAAGCAGCTTCGCAACTCATAGGCGCTTCAGCAAATAGACCCGTGTCGCAGGGCGAGAAACAGCCAATGAACACCTCCTCGACTCTTCAACAACCGCCCTACGCTCCACCTGCTCATACACCTTCGCCAGGCACAGAGCCGCAGAACCTACCGAGCATCTCTAACCTAATCCATCCGCCTCAACAGGAGGGCGTGTCACCTTCGTTCCATCAACAACAAGCGCAGTCTCGATTCCCCCCTCCTCCCACAAACGGCGGGGTCACCGGCGGCGCCTCACAGCCATCCAGCATGCCGCAACAACAGCAATTCGCGCAACCCCCGCAAGAGCTCAGGGTCACGAAGGGCAAATACTCTCTGGCGGACTTTGACATATTACGGACCCTCGGCACCGGTAGTTTCGGCCGAGTCCACCTAGTCCAGTCGAAACATAACCAGCGGTTCTATGCTGTGAAGGTACTGAAGAAGGCGCAAGTCGTTAAAATGAAGCAAGTTGAACACACGAATGATGAGAGAAAAATGCTGGGAGAGGTCAAGCACCCCTTTCTGATCACGCTGTGGGGAACCTTTCAAGACTCAAGAAATCTCTACATGGTAATGGATTTCGTGGAGGGCGGCGAGCTGTTCTCGTTGCTGAGAAAGTCTGGTGTAAGTTGGATGGAAAGCCTCTCAAACAGGGGCTTCAAGCTGATGCAATTCTAGCGCTTCCCCAATCCCGTTGCCAAATTCTATGCTGCTGAAGTGACCCTCGCCCTCGAGTACCTTCACTCGCGAAACATCATTTACAGGGACCTCAAGCCAGAGAATCTGCTCCTTGATCGCCACGGACACCTGAAGATAACGGACTTCGGGTTCGCGAAACGGGTGCCAGACAAGACATGGACGCTTTGCGGCACTCCCGACTATCTAGCTCCAGAAGTTGTTTCCAACAAGGGTTACAACAAGTCCGTTGACTGGTATGATTCCTTGTTTCGAGCCCTATACCCGCCGTTTCTGACACAGCATGCGATAGGTGGTCATTAGGCATTCTAATCTATGAAATGCTGTGTGGATATACCCCTTTCTGGGACAGTGGATCTCCAATGAAGATCTACGAGAACATCCTCAGGGGCAAAGTGAAGTATCCAGCATACATCAATCCGGACGCTCAAGACCTCCTGGAGCGATTGATCACTGCCGACTTGACCAAGAGATTGGGCAATTTGTATGGAGGGTCGCAAGATGTGAAGACGCACCCTTGGTTTGCTGAAGTGACCTGGGACAGACTGGCGCGCAAGGACATAGATGCACCTTACACGCCTCCTGTCAAGGCTGGTGCAGGCGATGCAAGCCAGTTCGACAGGTACCCCGAGGATCCAGAACGATACGGCCAAGGAGGTCATGATGAGTAAGTCGATGGAAACAAGCTATATGCCCGGGTGACTAACAAGAACTAGATATGGCCAATTGTTTGGCGACTTCTAAGTGGAACGACCCAAGGTTCCCTTGCGCATATTATCGTGTAGGTGCCGCTATGTGCCCGACAATATTGCAATCGACAACTTTCATTGTGATGTCAATGGCTTGGTCTGGGAACAGAGGTCTGGCTACTCTACTGGCGTTTGTGTTTGAATTGACATATGTGGTAAAGAAGCATGGTAGCCACGTTCCACTTCCCGCATTGGATGATGCGAAATGGCAAGGCTGGTTGGGTCATGGTTAGGGGGTCACATATTGTGAGTTTCAAGGGTTTCCAAGGCCTTCATCGGGATTGAAAGAGGTTGGAAAAGGGAGAGCAAGATGACTTACCATGGTAGAAATGGGCTTGGGAGACGGGACGAGTGCCTATAACCTACATATGCCTAACAGACAGGGGGTGACTGATTGTTGCCAAAGACCCTCCGTTGAATATTCTATCCAGACATCACAATAACTTGTTTCTACACAAGTCATACTTTCTTCCTTCGGGATAGGTGCATCCCAGAAAGAGGGGGTCTGCATCCATATTGATCGCGAGGCGCGTCGATGTGATCTGCTTGAAGAGGTCAGGCGGCTTCGTTGTCTAACTGATTGAGACTTAAAAGCTTCCGTCCCGCCTTTTAGGGCTCAACCTTAACGGCCGGACAGAAAGACATCAACCCCTCCCGCTCCTTTCGAGAATATCTTGTGTGCTAAAACAGTTCATCGCATGAACACCACAAGTCCTACGAGAGTTAACTGATTCACAAGGAAGTTCGTAGGGTCTCGAGCTACAGAGGTGCCCGGTAAGCTATCCCCCAACCAGCAACAAGATGGACGTAATGAAGACGCAGAGTGATTGATTATGCACGACCTCATGGCAGAAACCCCCACGTTAGCACGGCCTATAGCACAAGGTAAGCTTCCATAAGTTAAGCCCAAGCTTCTCTAAGCTCCGGTTCCCGACCGTCCCAATCACCCCGCACTGGTTCCCGGGTGGCTACCAGTAAGAGTTAGCGTACGGTGGTAGGACTTTCCCGCCACCAGCGCCCGTCAAGCGTCTGGACGGGTCCAGGATGGAGCACCTTTTGCAACCCCCTCCCCAGCTCACGCTGTAACCTATCACGACGGGGCATTGGAGCTGGGATCTCTATGCGGCTTATGTATGAGCTGCAGCAGACATGCTTCCTCGTCTTTTGCTCCACTGCTGTTGAGCTTTTCTCTCGCTCTTTCTCTTCTCTAGACAGTGATTGCTGTGAGAGGTCTTCAATCAAGTCGAGAAGGTCATGTATTGTTTGATAACCGGCGACATCATAAGCCGTATTTGCAAACTATCGACAGCGCAGAGCAGCTCCGGCCATCATGGACGACTACATGTTCCAATGGCACGTGAAGGGCTGCAAGAATGTCACCGAGGCGACGACGTACCTCGAGATCTTCAACTACTCGGTATGAAGACCTACAATATGAAGTGTCTCGGCTGCCTCAATTGCTTACCCAGTGCTGGCTAGGATCCGAGGTACAACACCATCGAGGAACACCCATTAGAGGCTCACGAATTCAATAATTTTCTCCACCAGAAGGTATGCTTCGGCCGGTCCCTTCTGTACGGCATTAGCGCAACTCATTTGGACTCATCACTGACACAGTCATCTCTCATATAGGGTGCATTTGCGCCTCCGAAACTGCCGGAGGGGGTGAAGCTGCTCAATGGCATGCGCATGGTGTAGGTTCATGGATCCTTCACACATTCTCACGGCTTCTTGACATATAAGCCCGTGGGATGCTGATTACGAGAACGGCATTTGCTAACCTGAGGCCCCCCGGTGGCCGCTCTACCGTAGTCTGCAGCAAAAGGCGAAGCATCCAGAGACTTTCACACCGAGCGTCATCTCATTCACGGCGCGCGAGTACGAGACGATGGTGAGGGTGCTCAAGCTGCCGTTCCGAGCGATAGAGGGCACGAGCGTGGTAGGGCCTTTCTTCTGGTGCGCCTTCGACCAGGACGACGAAGACCCGCACCTGCAGGTCATCTTCCGCAAGAGCGACGTGCGCAAGAAGGGCCTGACGCGCGGGTGGGAGCTGATGCTGAGCCACTCGCTGGCGACGGGGGTGACGACGGGCTACGCCAAGGGCACCGAGTCGAGCGACATGGTGGCGAGCGTGGAGCACCTCAAGGCGTGCGCGCAGCAGGTCGCGCACCCGATGCTGCTGCCCGTCATCATCCTTTCGCACGACCTGAGCGCCAAGAACGACCAGAAGCAGCGCGACGCGCGCGACTGGCTGCGGCGCCTCGAGCACGCCGTCAGCATGCGCAACGAGATCCAGGAGGACGAGGGCTACGTCAAGGACGCCGTCATGGACCTCGACCAGATCAACAGGGACCTGGTCGAGTGCCACTCGCAGGTGCTGTGGAAGCGGCCCCAGGCGTACCAGGAGATTGTGCGCGAGATGGAGAAGGGCATGGCCCGCTTCAAGGAGATGCTGCCGCCCGAGAGGGACGTGCCCGAGGTGAACAAGCTGCACCGCAGCATGAACGCCCGGCTCGAGTTCTACCAGAACAAGCTGAAGGGCATCGAGAACTATGCGCATACGACGCTGGAGCGGCTGACGATTCAACGAGCTGCGGTGAGTATATCGGACCTGATAGTCCGTTGTGAAAAGAGATGCTGACGTGTGGGGATAAATAGCTTTATAACATTATTGCGCAGAAGGAATCCAAGCTCAATCTAGAGATGGCCGGTGCCCAACGGCGGCTTGCACACGCCAGCAAGCGGGACAGCAACTCGATGAAGACGCTCTCGCTACTCGGTGCCATCTTCCTGCCCGCCACCTATCTAGCGTCTGTGTTCAGCATGACCTTCTTCAACTTCAGTCCCGGTAAGTCGCAGGCATTAGAAAGGGGTTGGCTCATGGCATATGCCGACTGACATTGTGATCCAGATCCCGGCCAGCCCATCGTGGCATCCTCGATATGGGTCTACTTCGCCATCACCGTGCCGATAACGATAGTCATCGTGGTGATCTGGCGGGTGTGGGACCGGACGCGCGAGCGCCAGTACGCAGAGGAGGACGTCGACCTGGAGGCGGGCATTGAGAAGATGGAGCAGCAGATCATGGCCATGATGCGCAAGCGCACGCTGAGCAAGGTCCGGACGTGGAATCTGGCGACCAAAACGGAGTGAGAGACGGCGCACGTTTATGAATGTTTCAGACGACTTTACTATTCATGACACTGAAAAGTACAGCTTATGATGATACAGGAGCGATTCTTTTTTTCTTTTTTGAACTTTTGGGGTTTCTCGGGCTGTCGTTCGATTTATATATAGCATTTGGCGTTGTCGTTTCCTTGGATACGATCCCTCATGGTACGACAAGGTTCATCATGACTTACGACTTACGATAGATACATTATAAACAGATGCTAGGATAATGATCAATTTACACGATATCAAAAGTCATCAAAAAGGTACGCGTACAGTACAGAAGTATGATACGTTACAGGTAAGGATGGCACTCTTTCGGGCCCCCAGTCCACGTCAGCGCGGATCAGCTACCCATATCGAATGTCAAGAACCACTTCCAAAAAGGATTTCAATCGTCTACGTAGGCAAGTGGTTTTAGACGAACAAACGAACGTATCATTAAAAGGTTTCCTTGTCATCAAATTACTGGACGTTTCCCAGAGTTGCCCCGCACTGCGCTGCGTTGGACGCTGCACTGCCAGGTTCTGAAGCAAGGACAGGTTCTTTAGTGTGACGCCATGGCTGTTTGGAATTCAGGGTCGTGGGTAGGCTATATATCTGGCTTACATGGTTTCGATTGATGATGATGATGGCCTTGGCTCAGTGCTCTGTCTATATCTAAACTCGTTTTCTTTCTTCATACCTACCGTGACGCGACACATTAGCCAAATTCCTGATTGTTTTCATCTCAATTTCCATCTGGATTAGGCTCGGCCAGTGCTGGACAGTTTGCTTCACTGTATCCGCAACCCACATTCAGCTTGTACCTGCACACAGCCAGTTTCTTGGCGGTGTAAGGAGACCTTGTTCGTTGGATGCCTCTGATCCACAAGGTCCAGGTACTCACATGAATGAAGCCTAAGATATCGACTCTTCTCTTCTTCTAATTTCTTCATTTTTAAACGTCATTTCTGAACTTTGCATCAAGTACCACTGCAGAATGGCCGATGCAGCGCCCCAGAGCCCACGGCCAGCAACGGCAGATCCCCTCCACCAAGCCGGCGGCGGTGTCAGTGGGGAGAAGCAAACGGTCAGGAACCTAAATGCCGCAGTGCTACCGCATCTAAACCAGATATTCAACTCGCATGCGGACAAGAACAATAAGAAATGGCACAAGGAGCAGATCGCCACGTTCGCAAAGCACGTGCAAAAGGACGAGGGCGCTCTACCGGCTGCCCTGGCGGCTAAGGAGGAGCTGGACTTCAATGGCTTTCTGCATTACATGACCTCGTCGTCTTCGAACATCGTCGCCCCTTCTAACAATCAGGACTTCTCGTGGCCGCTCTCTAGCTACTTCATCAGCTCCAGCCACAATACCTACCTCACGGGGAATCAGCTGTACAGCGACTCGAGCACGGACGCTTACAAGAATGTCTTGCTACGCGGCTGTCGGTGCATCGAAATCGATGTGTGGGACGGCGATGACTCGGATTCGGAGACCTCAGAGAGCAGCCTTAGCAGCAGCGATGAGGACGAGCCCAGGAAGTATGAGAAGACCAAGTCTAGAGTGGCCAAGGCCAAGACCAAGCTGCCGAACTCGGTGATCTCACGGTTCGAGAAGACTTCCCTTTCTAAAAAGCTCGACAACTACGTCGAGAAGAAGAAGCCTGAAGGAGGCTCCGCAGCTCCTACCACAACCACTCCGGCGGTGACATCGCCAGCACAGGTTGTGCCCAAGACAGCGGACCCTTCCGCGGCTGTGCCCCCAGCAACTCCAGCTCCAGTGTTGGCAACGGCACCGACTACGACGACACCGGTGCCGAGAACTGCCGCCTTAAACAAGACAACCAGCCCACAGGCGGCTATTGTCGAACCGCGAGTGCTACACGGATACACGCTCACGAAAGAAGTCTCCTTCCGAGATGTGTGTGCAGCGATCCGTGACTACGGCTTCGTCGTCACGGATCTACCCCTAATTGTCAGCTTGGAGGTCCACGCCGGTCCGGAGCAGCAAGAGGTCATGGTCAAGATCATGGAGCAGATCTGGAAAGACTACCTCCTCCCACCGCCCAAGTCAGATGCTGAGACCCTCCCGCCGCCGGGCGATCTGCGCAACAAGATCCTCGTCAAGGTCAAATATGCCCCCCCTCATAAGGAGGCAGCCGACACGAAACCAGAGGGAGACCCCGATTCTGAAGCTGAAGAAGAGCGGGTTCCCGCTGACGGGAAGAAGAAGAAGAAGCCGTCCAAGATCATCCAGGCGCTGAGCAGCCTCGGCATCTACACCCGTGGCGTGTCCTTCAAGAGCTTGACTCAGCCGGAGGCGTCGATGCCGACGCACATCTTCTCGCTGTCGGAGAAAGGGGTTATGAGCGTGCATGAGGCGAACGGCGAGGCGCTGTTTAATCACAATAAGCAGTACATGATGAGGGCTTATCCGTCAGGGTTGCGGATCAGATCGTCTAATCTCGACCCAGCTGTATTCTGGAGAAAGGGCATACAGATTGTGGCGCTGAACTGGCAGAACTGGGACGAGGGCATGATGCTCAACGAAGCCATGTTTGCGGGCACAGGCGGATATGTTTTAAAGCCTCAAGGTCTGCGCCCATCACTCAAGAATCAGAATTGCGAAATATTGCTAATATGTACATAGGCTACCGAGCAGAAAAGCATTCTGGATCCGTTGCAGCAACCAAAGACAAACAGGACACCCAAGCCACAGCCATCATACACAAGACGCTTGATCTCACCATCGAGGTCTTCGCAGCGCAGAATCTGCCCCTGCCTCACGAGGACGACACCGCCAAGGGCTTCCGGCCGTACGTCAAGATGGAGCTGCACGTGGAGGAGCCGAACGAGCGGCACGGGGGCATGGGCAAGGCGGACGGCAAGGAGTCGGAGGGCGAGTACAAGGCCAGGACCAAGACGCTGAAGGGGTGCGACCCGGACTGGAAGGGCGAGAAGGTCACGTTCACGGACATCCCAGGTGTCGTGGAGGAGCTGGCGTTTGTGCGGTTCATTGTGCGGGACGACGAGATCGGCCGGGACGATCTGTCGAGCTGGGCTGCTGTGCGCCTCGATCGCCTGCAGCAGGGGTACAGATTCGTGCATCTGATGGATGCTGCAGGCCAGGAGACCGAGAGCGTGATACTAGTGAAGGCGACGAAGAAGTTGTCTTAAACAAGAGAGATTTAGTCAGCAAGGCAAAGGGAAGATGAACAGTGACAGTAACAAATATCATGAGCGTTTGAGCAATGCGTTTTTATCTACCGATTGTCAGAAGCAAGTCCCAGGAAGCCTCGTCCTGCAGCTCATTACTTGACGTAGTCATATGCCAACTATCCTCGTCCGAGTTTTGTCATCCTAGCAAAGTTGTCTAATGTTACACACATGAAAACTCCATACTCCTCCAACGGCTCAAGATCCCATTACCAAACGACCATCTAAGCCAATTTTTTACCACGCCCAGAGGACCTTGTGATGCAATACTCGTGCTCCCAGTCTCTCGTACTCAAAAGGCGTGATCCAGCTATCGTTAGCAGCAAGTTTGGCAAAGACGCTGGCGCCCTTCCAAACCACGACCTGCTCATCCATATCCCTGGCGCTTCGGCTCACCAGGATCTTGTCGTAGATGTCAGGCCGTCTCGCGCGGAGCTTCTCCTCCAGCAAAGTTGTGAAGTGAGGAACCTTGGCTCCTCCGCCGATAACCATGATGGAGCCCAGGAGATCCCGCACCTTCTTGTCGTCTCCCTTGGCAGCATTCTGGATGGCTGTCATGATGGCAACGTCGAGAGAAGCAACCGGCAGGACCTCATCACGCTCTGCTGCCAGTGCCTTTGCCGAGCGGGCAAAGCTGTCTACGAACATGCCCGGTGGGGGCTGTAGTGACTGGCCTAGGGGTCCACCGGAGGGTGCTGGGGTACCGCCATTTCGGCCGGTAGGGGCTGGACTTCCTGTGCCATTGACACCGTCCTTGTCTTTCCCACCGAAGACAAAAGGTGGCGGGACTGGAGTACTGGCTCCCTCTGGCGCTGGAGATGGGGCGTTTGAGGTCGCAGGAGTGCCATTCGCCTCTCTTGCAAGGAAGTTGAATGGTTGGGACTTCTCCTTGCTAGGGGTTGAGATCTCTTGGCCAGGGGCGAACCCATTCGCGTTAGATGTGATGGATGGCTTGATCAGTGCAAGTATAGCCAGCTGTGCGGCAGATTGCGGGTCATCAGGCACGTCAACTTCATAGGCGTTATATGATCGATCAATGAGTTTCCGGCGGCCGCGCAGCTTGAACTTGTTGTCAAAAATCTCAGGCTCGTAAAAGCCGTAGGGTGCTAAGATGACTTCATCGTAGGTCTTGAACTGATATTTGTGAGTCGGTTGGTTAGGCGCGCGAAGATGGAACTCGGCTAGTTGCACTGAAATGTTGGCTTGTGAAAGTGTGCAGTGCTTGATCTTCAACTCCTCTGCTAGGAGAAAGTCGTAACGTCGCTGCAGGTTGATATCCTGGTATGGGAAGTTGTCGTATAACATCATCTTGATGAACGTTTCCGTTACATCATAACCGCCATATTTGAGATTGATTCGGGAGTCCTCGATACACAGTCCATCCTCAACACAGGTAATGGATGTCTTCTGCGCGCCGACATCTACAACGCAAGCCTGCGTATAGCCCGCGCCAAAGGTAGCTGCCATGCTCTCCTGGATGAAGCATATCTTGCTGAACTCGAACCAGTTCACACATGATCTCAGGACCTGCTCGACATACTTTTTATCGTACAGATCTGGGATAACAAAGACACAGCTGTACTGTTTCCAGGTGCTGTTCCGAGTCAAACCTAGCTCTTGACGGATTGCCTTGTCAAGAAGGGTCTCGAAATCATCATATAGATGCTCCTCGGTATCATAATCATCCTCGTTGAGGAAACCATGTTGCATAGGCCACCAGAGCTTGAACTTCGGGTTCGAGTCATCAGGAACCCGCTGTGCCTGGTTACCGATAAATGCAGATGCAATTGACTCCGGATCCTCCAAACTCTTGATATCCGTCCATTCTATTTGCAGAGGATCGTTGTGCGTCGCTATGATCTCGGGTTCCGCCCTGCGGTTGTAGTTCACGACAAGCTCCTTTGAGTTTGGTAGGACTTTGCGCTTGTTCGCGCGCATGTCTACTTTAAGTTCGTTGCTCATCTTATGGAACTTCTTCGACCATTCCTCCCCATATTCTTGATCGAGGTTCCTCGCCTCGAACTGCCGCCTTGGTAGGGCTTCATGGATTTCAGATTCTGTCTGCGGGAAGCGCGTAGCCAGGGCCATGGGGATAGTTTTTGGAAGGGCATCGCTCGCAAATCCAATACGCAAGTTCTGGCTTCCGGGATGGATAACTATTATCCTTGACGGGTCGAGGGCATCGACGGCTGGCTCGGTCGCATCGTCGCCATCGAGGTCGGCTATCGGCAGGGGAATCTCGCCATTCTGGTTGAAAGCTAGTGCACGATCTCTATCCTTCGCGCTCTGTACCAGTCGATCGCGGGTAGCCTCTCCTTGGAGTCGTAGGGCGAGGACCTGATCGTCGCGCTTCATATAATCACTACAAGCAAGTTAGTTTTGACCGAAGCTGTCGAGTATGTGACTCGGAAAAGAATGGACACATACGTATAGTAGTTCTTCTGGTTGATGGGGATGACATCGGGCCAGCTCGTCTGCTTCATGCCATTGTCGGTGCGCTCGAGCCCTGCATTATAACCAATCCGTCAGCACGCGCATCTTCAGTCACTAATGATCCTATCACAGAATATCCGAATCTCAGCCAAGGTCACTTACCTTCCCGAAGGAGGACACGCTCGCTGACTTTTCCGACCATGGCGAACGTTTGGGGCTGGCGAGCTGGGTGTTGAAGTCGAGGTGGCGGGAATTGGAAGATCGGAAAACTTTGAAGGGCATTGCGATCTTGTCGAGATCCAAGCCTCCTAGAATTCCATGTGTTCCAGTATCGCGCCCACTTAGAGCACCCTTGTTCAATAGGCTGCTCGCTGCCATTCAAGATGTGCGCTAGATCCATTTTGGCACTAGCGGGCGCGGTCTGGGCCTACTTTTCTCCAGGCCACCTCTGCTCAGCCATACCCGAGACGATCAGAAGTATATGAACCCAACGAAGCTATGTTTTCTACCTAACATGATTTGTTTATATTCGTTTTCTTACCATTATAAGGTATTCATCAATGGTTTCGTAGTCTTTGAGCGAATATCTGCAAACACGGCGTCCTGCATTGATGCGTTCATGAGGTTGACAGGAGCAAGCTGTTCTTAAAGAGAGGGACATGACTACCCAGCTAGGAACACTTCCGACTGTAGAGAGCATCTTTCAAGTCTCTCGCTATGCAAATGACTCCAGTAATTCGGTTCAATGAAGCCCATTAGTTTTATGACATACTGCAATTGTAAATTGAAGCAAGGATGATTCAGGGGATGAAAAGGAATGTAACCTTTCCGTGTAAGTGGCAGTCACCTGACTGTCCAGTATGACGATGACGTCGCCACCTTGAGATCTGTCTCATGAACTGGACACTTCACTCTTTGTAAGGCAGCTATTGACCCATTGACAAATACTGAGTTCATAAGACTCATTGACAACTTACTGCTTCTTTGAACTAAAGGCAATAATAATCACTCATACGCATCTTCAGTAGTGGTTGATCAACAAGGCACCGAGTGGGGGACGCAGACTACCGCAATCATGCCACCCATCCCCATCTACAGTAAGAGCCCGATCAATGCGGCAAAGGCAGACGGCGTAACGCCGCAGACTGCTGCTGTAGAAGAGCAGAATCCGTCTGATCTGAAGCCTGCACCTACTTCAACAGAGGATCAACCGCAACAATATCCCGCTGCCCGGCCAGGGGCCGTCCCTTCTCTTCCCGCGCCAACGGGGGCTGTTCAAGCGCAACGTTATGCGCCTGTCCAGCCAACTCCAACTCAACCGTTAGGGGATCAGGGCCCTCCACCACCTCAGCCTGGTGCCGTGCCCATTGCACCTGGAGCCAAGTCGACTCTACCGCCGCCGCCCAAGGCCGGGGAAGCGTATCACCCACCTGTACAGACGTCGGCGCCACAGCCGGCAGCCTCAGTGCCTTACCCGCCCCAGATGGGCATGGCTGCTCCAACGGTGGCCTCTTCGCAGCGAGGAACTTCAACCGCCTTTGTATCCCAGTTCTCACGACCCGTTGAGGTCGGCGGGGGCCTAGAACATCCTCCAGGCTACCATCAAAACGCCAGTGCTTCCGGGTTCAACAGCCATCAGCGGGCTGCTCACTCCGCCGCAGAGCGAGATGGGAGGGCAGAGCAAAGGGCCACCTTCGACGATGATGGGGAGGGAACCATGTGGGATTCCGCGAAGAAGTTTGCCCAGGCAGCAGGAGACAAACTTTCAGCAGCTGAGCACGAGGTCTGGCGAAGAATCAACAAGGAATGAAGGCCACGCATTCCCCGAATGCCATCACCAGCCTCCTTCCCCTTTTCCTTACTTGCATTGTCATCATCATCGTCATCGTCCGATTTGCATGAATCTGCTCGTGGGACACAGGTCGACGGTCAGATAACTCAGATAGGAGATACGATGGGTCTTTCTACTTTCTATTTACGGCGCTCGGGAGGGGATGTTGTAGGGAAGGCTTAAGCTAACTTGAAGTCTGGTTGGCTATCCTAGATAGGGACCTATGGGATCATCAGGAGAGGGCGGGCTGTGTTCAACATCAGACAAGGCGGGAAGGATTAGTGTAGATAGACCAGGACTAGCCATCCATCCATATGCAAACAAGAACAAGTTCATCATCTACTGCGTACGCTGCAAACATTCTGCCCACTTTACGCGTGGGACGCGGGTGGAAACTCGTCAGCGCCCCTCTCCCGTCCGGCACAGCCCAATGAAGGAGCTGGATCTACGCGTGACGTGCACCTGCTCCGACACAAGGCCCAGATGTGTACAGCAAGTACAGCACTCCCGGGTGCGGGCTTGCGATAGGCGGCCTCAAGCGGTGGGGTGAGTCCTGGCTGCCATTGGCCTCTCGGGGATCTTCATAAGAGCCGAATTATAGACCGCGGTCACGGCTAAAAAGGTGAAATAATTTCCCAATGCGGCGGCGTTGTTCATGCGAACAATTGCGCTTCGACCAGGCCCGGTCCTTGCCCCGGGGCGCCCGGAGGTGTCCCCACAGGGCATGGAACAACTCATCGAAGGCATGGAAGGAATGGCCCAGCATGCCCGCAAGTGTGCGGGCCAGCGGGGGAGGCCCAAACATGATCACGACATGTCTGTAAGTGCAGTGGAGGGGTCCAAAGGCCGCCGCTCAAGGTAGAAGGCCGCGATAACACGGCGTCCGGTGCTGCTGCTACGTTCCAGCGGGCTCGTCCCGTGTTAAAGAGATGGCAGATGTAGTAATGTGCTCTATAAATCAATGTTGAGCGCTCGTTGGCTCACTACTTTGGATTCCAATGCGTTGGATGCAGGTACAAAGGGCGATTCACACAAGCGGGCGGTACGATCTTGGCTATACGGCACGTCTGGGACTGCCGCTCTCGTGGGGTGCTGGGCGGGACCAGATGCCCAGTCAGGTAGAGTAGATACGCAAGCAGGTCCGGCTCTGTACACACCTTTAAGAGCGACGCATTAAGGCTCTCGCCGACCGGCCATCCTTGGTGTGCGAAGGCTATAGCTCGCTGCACTATACTTGAGGGCGAGCTGATGCCAACCAACCCGCGTGATCCGCCAAAGACATATCGAACAGCGAGGCGAGCATTAGACTCACCCGGGAGAGCGGTGGCGATGATTAGCTGGCTCGGCTGGGAAGCGACCGGCTCTCAGGGAGGGTGAGGATTAATATGGCCACGGCTGGACTCGTCAGCTTGATGACGGACGGAAGGGTTCAGTTCGGCACGGCCTCCAAGTCCAAGTCAAGTCAAATCAAGTCGGGTCAGGCTTTGATAACCAGATGGAGAAATCCGCTTGTGGGGTCGGCAAAGCAAGACAGCACTTTACGAATATTGCGCGGTGCAGGCCGGTGGGATGGGAACCGGTACGATGGACGGGTGGTCGAAGACAGCTGTACCGAGACAGCGACTCAAAATAGACACAGGTAACAGGTAAAAAGAAAAGAAAAGAAGACAGAAGAATGGGGGAGGCTACGGGAAAGGAGGATGGTCCGAGGTCTGAGTCCTGACTGGATCAGCAGTCCCGATGTATCATGTCTCTTACACACCCGTCCACAACCAACGAACGACGAACGATTTGGCGATGAAGAAAATCAAATCAGCCTCTTGCATCTGGGCGGGGCTTGAGAGGATGATGGCAGTCCCCGAAATCTAAGAATTAGACTCCGCCATGCTCTTGTAATCTTGTGTAGAATTACGAAGTGGCAGGCTATCAGCTGCTCAAATGTCGACTGCTACGCTGATTTGAATTGCAGTGGCAGCGCCAGCCTTGCACTACGACGGTATGGAGCAGTACGTGGACCGCCTCATGTTCGAGAAGAAACAGCAGCTCGGCATGCCGGGCTGGATCTGCTAAGCTGGATGGATGATCAGGATCCATATCATTGAAGTGAGGGAGGGAGAGAGAGCCACCCGAGCCACCTCATCCTCGCCATCGCAAGGAAGGGAGAGCGAGTGAGACTGCTGCCAATCCGTTGTTGGAAGTGTTGTGCAAATAGGAACAGTACTAGGTACTACGCAGTAGGTAAGTAAGGTTGCACTGGCGACCTTTTTAGCTAGCAAGTCAGGAGCGGGCGGCGGAGGGAGGACTGCAGGTGGACAGAGAAGGGGGGGTTAGCGTGAGAGCTAATGCGTCTCAGGGCCAGCCCCTGACGCGAGATCTGAAACAGGCTGTTCCCCTTGGTCCCGCCCTGTCAGAGGCGTTTGACGGCTCTACCCCGTGTCAGACTCAGACGCCCTGCTGCAACCTTGCTGCACCTCGCTCCTTCCTGCCTGGCGAGCCCTGACTGGAGCGTGCGGTCCTTCCCCAACCATCCATCTCTCCTCCCACCCATCCGTCGTTACCTCACCGTTCAACAATGGTGCATCGTGACTTCTGTTTGGAAAGAGCCAACCGGCCCGGACTGTCTGGCTAGTGGCAAGGGCAAGCTGAGGAAGGTGCTCATCATTTGAAATGAGAGATACCTCACTAGGTAGGTACTGTAGTAGTCGCCTGAGTCCTCCTGCTACTCGACATACAGCAGGAGCCAAGTGTCAGTTATAGTTCGTGATATCTATAATCCATTGATTGATCTCAGGTATTGGGTGCTCCGTTGTTAACGCGAGTCTACCTAGCTCTCCATCTACTACCAGTACCTATAGAATGCTCTACTATGTAGTCTACTGATAGTACTCATCGATCCTCGATCCGCCCGCCCTGCCGCTGGGCGTCGTAAGGTTCTCTTCTGTCTTGTCTTGTCTTGTCATGTCTGGCTCTGCTGTGACTGCTCTGGCTGCAGGTGCCAGGTGCGCTGGTGCAGCACCAGTAGCAAGCAAGCGGGCTGTGGGTCTCAGCCAACCTTGGAACCTCTGGAACCCCTGTCTCCGCTTACCACCCAGCTCCCGACAAATTAGGTTGCGGCACGACCCCACCTTTTTGAACCTCGAAACACCATCCACTCACTGCCTGGGGTCCCGACTTTTTTCAACGACACATGGTCAAACACCTCACCTCTCTCATGTCTCCGTTATACCCAACAGCCCCTCGTAACCACCCCGTACCAGTATATCCTCTCCCCTCAACGGCCGTCGATGGCCTTGTATCTGACCCAGGTGCAATACGGTCTTTTTGCGAGTGCGCTAGCAGTACCTGCCGCACCCGTCTGCGACTCCGCGCTCCGGATGTACTCGTACCTTCTGTTCGGTGTTTCGTCTCCTCCTGTCTGCGTACTCCTCAGATGGCTGGCCCAGGCAACAAGACGCACATCTTAGTTTGTGCACGATTACAGCCAACCTGCACCATCAATTCCAATTCGTGAATCGCTCGTCGCTGCTCGTCAGACACACCCAAGAGCAACAGGGCCTACACCCCGAACATCACATCCTCCTCTCGGCACCACGCCGCCTCCTAAGCCTCGATCCCCCCCCCTCCCTCGGAACGACGTACGATCCTTACCCTCCTCGACAATTCACAGCCGCAATCGTTCAGCTTTCTTATCAGAGACCATCTCCTTGCTCGGGTAAAACCCCCAATCGCACCTATCTCCGTTTATGATATGTGGGATAGGTGGCTGGTGACGATATCTGTCATCGACTGCTTTATTCAACGGGCCTTTTGAATGTATCTGCATGTGTCGCTTAAGCCCGTGTCTACCAAGAGAACCCACATGTCCAACCGGATACACAGGAACTTCCTACGTATGCTACTGCACCACGGTATTCAACGGCGCTTGCTCAGTTTCCGATGCAAAGGTCGGAAGTTGGAACGGCAAGGCCCTGATCTTCTGGTTGCTCGCGTTCATCATGTGGGGAGTCAAGGTTCCGGCTTACCAGGAGTTATCCCTGCCCTCCAAACCACCGAACCAAGAGCTCAGTAGGTCGCGAAACAGCGCTCGTTGTAAGATGTGCCCGCTCGCAAAACACTCGTGTTCATGATCTTCTTCGGACAGCCCACCATTGGGTCTGGGTAAATGTCAGGTTTCCAGTTTCGATCTCCCTCCTGCAAAGCTTTACCAAAATTACCTACGACAAAAGATTTACGGTGCGTAAAGTTGGATCCAAGCGCCATGGCGGCGGTTGAAGTCAAGACATGTCAAATCGCATCATACGAGACACGCGAGGCTCGCCTACCGTCTGTGAACACACCCCTCTTGTGAACCCCGGGTGCGGCAACGGAGCCAAGCTTGATGTGTGTTTTCTGATCTCTGGCGGGTTTGATTCGGAGATCATCATCCTCGCGGTGCCTCATCTGCTGGCCCCAAGAGCTTCCCCCAATTCCTCTTCAGCCCAGCAGGCCCAGCCCAGCCCAGCCCAGCACAGGTTGCCACTTGTCCAGCATGGAGATGAGACAAGCCACCTCCTCGGTATCTTTACCCCCTTGTCGCCCTAGGTCGTGTAAGGCCTGGCCGGCCCACATGGCAATTGTCAAGATGGCCCATTGTAGGTCCACTTTCCTTTCTCATACTTGCTTTGCTTTTGAACCGTCTGCTTCTGTTCTGATGACGGGGGTGGATCGCTCTACAACTTGACTCTTTTGGGGCTGGCTGTTCCCTCCCTTCCAATATCCCGCCAGCCCCTCCCTTCCCTTCTCTGTTGGTCTAGTGCAGCAGTGTATGGGTGTCTGGATTTATGTAAGTACCTCCGTAGTGGAGTGGAAGAGTACCGTACTGGTAGTCTAGTGTGAAGAGGCACGCACTCACTTCACCTTTCTTCGACTCGCGACCTGCGGCCTCGATGCAGATGCCCGTGGGACCCGCCCTGTCAGAGGCGTTTGATCCTTGTTCCCTTCGTCCAAAAACAGATGTCCCTGGTTCATCGGCACCTCACGCCTACAGCCCAACATCATCGACGAGCAGATGCAACCCTAGTTAGCTGGTCCCTGCCTGTCCGCACCATCCTTGCACGGTGCCTCTTTCCAGCAGGCCAAGCAGATTCTCGCACACCATCCTCTACTCCATGCCCACAGACACAGGTCAGGTTTGTATCAGGGAATCCGGCTTAGCTCCTACCGATGTTCCGAGCCAGACCGTGCTGAGCCATTGGCCTGTCCATGGATGATGCCTCTGGCGTCCTACAATACTTCTCTTATACCTCTGGGGTCCTTCTGCACCGCCCCTCCTTCTGGCTCTTCTTGCTCCTCTTTTCGCGTCGTCCCACTTCCAAGCCCATTACCAGACTTTTTTCACTGCCAGTCGCTCCTTTTCCTGCTTTTTGACCTATAATACCTTGTTACTATCACTCTCTGGTCTATAATATACCAAGAGCTGGCTCTCTTCCCCCGCGGACGCCAGCCTGTGTGCGATCAACCAACTAACTGACCGACTCACGAGTTGCACTTATACAACTCACCACACTCCTTTCTCCCCCCTCCTCCGGAGCACTCTCCATCTGTTCCTGTCCTCGCCGCCGTCCCTTGGGATTTTCTCTTTTAGCGACACCGCTTACAACCTGTCCTCAACGTGAGGCTCCGCGATCCTTACCGTTTCACTGAGAGATTATTATATCGATATCCATCGTTGGGGTCATCGATCTTAAAATCTACGCGCTCCTTACCCTTGACCACTTACAAAGGTCGCCTAAGACGTGGCTTCCCGCGACCGGAAATTATTACTCTTGCCCTGGACTTGGCCCCAGCGCCCGCGTTATAATTCCAAGTAAGTTACAAGATCGCCTGAGGATATACGATGATACACTCATCGATACGTGGGCTATGTGGAGTCTCCAGCCGGCCCATCTGCTAGCCTGGGCCACTTCCGTCCCTCGATTTATGCTAACATCCCATGGCCGCCCTCAGGTTCCGGCTTCTAATAGATTAACACTCACACGCTCCTTTTGTATAGAGCCATATTGTCATGGACTCAAGTCACACTCACCTGTATGCCGTCCCTTAACAAGTTGACCCGGAACCGAACAGATCACTTATAGAATTCCAGGCGGCAGCAGATACAAACACCATCCTTCGCCTTCAACCTCAATAATAAGTTCAGGAGAGACGTGCCACCTACTTCTCGACCAACCCCCATCGTCACCATGAATGGGAGTGAGATGCCGGTGAAATCGGAGGCAATGGGGCAACCTCAAGGCATGTGGACTACGCCAACGACTCAAGGCATGCGCCCACGACCAGCAACAATCCATGAGGGCTTCTCGTACTGCATGGGGGAAGGATATGACGCCCTACCGTCATGGGACTCGTCAACGTTGCCTACACAGCAGACGCCCAGCGACACCATGTCTTCTCGGCCCATCTCCATGCACCAGGAGTTCTATCCACCGACAACGATGGAGAGTGAGTGCGCCTTTCAAGGGTTTCATAGCACTCAACTAACGTGTCTCTTAGACAACTGGGTGCAGAAGCCCTGCGAGGATAATCTCGAGATGCATGGCATTGACAATGAGATGAACATTGGCCAGGCTTACACCACCGATGAAGCAATCCCTATCTTGGATCTGCGATACTCTGGGCCTCCAATGGAAGGGGATTCCTTGCACTTTGACAGCGGTCTGAACCCACGAAGAATGTCAGGCTCCTCATTCACCATGTCGACATCTGGCGCACTCTCTGATATGCCGTCCTACGAAGACTTCTCCGCAGCTTTGTCGGATGCACCGTCCTTCAGCTCAGAGTACCCGCCCCCATCGAATAGGAACTCCTTGATGTCATCAACACAGTTATCACCCGTTGCCTCACCACGTATGACGCCACAGAGTAGGTCTGAGCTTGTCAGAACTCAAAGCCGAGGACGTGCGTCTCCCTCTCCCCGACCTGGCATGCGATCTGCACCATACAGTGTCGAGAGCGCCAGGAACAAGAGATGGTCAACAGGTTCTTACGGACCGATGCCAAACAGGCGGCCATCGCCCTTTGTTTATCATCACACCCCTGAGGCCTTTGGACCACGGATGTCTTCCAGACACTCCTCGCCCACCATCCAGCATAACCAGATCCCACTGAACTTCAATAATCTGCAAGCCGCTCAGCAACCTCATTTTCTGATGAGCCACCCCCCGGCGTTTCACCGCAACAGCATGCTTCTGCCGTCACAGCTGCCGTCACAAGCATTCCACCCGGAGGCGCATCAATTCGATGCCCCGCCGCCACTCCTTTCCCATGGGCTATTCCGTATGCTTCAGAGCAACGCCGACCCTCACTCCTTGCACAGCCACTATACTGACCTGTCGGACCCCCCTGACCTGTACGCGTCACTCCATGAGGAACAGGTCCCGCCTCCCCCAGAAGACATGAACCCATCGGATCCGGACCTTGTTCCTCATGAGCAAGAGCTTCGATTTGATGGCGACCTGTATACCCCCAGGTGGGTGCGTGGTCATGGTAACAAGCGCGAGGGTTGGTGTGGTATCTGCAAGCCTGGCCGGTGGCTTGTGTTGAAGAACTCTGCATTCTGGTACGACAAGAGCTTTACACACGGTATCAGCGCTGCGACTGGCAGTCCTTTCCAAGAGCCTCAGGAGACGAGGCGCATGGATGGAAATCCAGATGTCTGGGAAGGGCTCTGCGGCAGTTGTAATGAATGGATTGCGCTAGTCAGCAGCAAGAAGAAGGGTACTACGTGGTTCAGGCACGCATACAAGGTGAGTTGCAGAGATGGTTCTGTGGCTATTCGAAATGAAGAATGCTAATGACCTGTAGTGCCATACTCACCCCAAGATCAAAGATGCGCCCAAGCGTCGTAGGGAAAGCAGCCACACTCGCCTTGCTGCTTCTACTATGGCCAAGCCCAAGACTGAGCCCCAGGCTCCATTGACGCCACAGATGACCCCTGCTTCGATGTCCGTTGCAACGACACCAACTCCAGCACAAATGCAACCTCAGCCGCAACAGCAGCCCACTCCTGTGGAACATCGTCAGCAGCAACATCAACAGCAGCAGTACCAGCACCATGTGGCGCCTCCAGCACCTCCCCATTTGCAAATTCAGATCTCTGCGCCGCCTCCACTTCAATCTCACCAGCGGCCGCTCGTGAGCCCCTTACACGGGGTTGGCAACATGATCTAATGAGCAGGGCCTTCGCCGCATCATCAATGTGGGATGCTGTCAGAAAACTTTATATTAAAAAAAATGAGCGGCCTTGCTTTCGTCTTCGTCTATATTCCACTCCAAATTTATTTTTTTCCTTTGGAATGCGCCATGACGTTTCCCATTATCTGAATGAACTGGAATCCGGGGATACCTTTAGAGTGGCATCAATTGGGGGCTGGGTGTGATTTTCTTCCGGACGGGACGGGAAGAGCATGACCAAGGGCGGCATTACACACTCATTAACTCGACTCCGGTACCAGACCTGCACTTGTCACGGGGAAGCAGTCTGGCTGAGTGGGAGACATTGCCTGCCACAAAACGAATCAAACGTGAACGGCCGTTACTCAGCACTGCTTTATTTCTCTTTACCAAGGGGACGAACGACTCTGCTCACGACTTTGAGGAGCAAAGTAGAAAAGGGGGGCAATGCTTAATGAGGGCGTCGAGACTCGGGACGCTGGCAAGAACTGCTCCTCGACGCTCTTTATCTCTTTTTTGTTTGCTACTTTTTCTTCACATTCTCTGTCGATATGCTAAAGGCACCACTACCATCACAAACAACAACACAATTCTTTCACTTTAATCGTAGATAGTTGGAATTATTTACCGCCTCCAATTTCTTGAGAAAAGGGAGATGACGGACCTGAGGAAGAGGAGGAAATCTGCCTATAAGGGAGGCAGCACGGCAAAATGACCATGATACCTGGCGAATTGAATTGAATTTGATGAGCTATTCTCTTGACAATGAAAGTCTATTGAAAATACTACACTCTGCTTTTCACTTGTGACCGAACTCGCCAGATCTCAAAACCCTAGATTTCAGATACATGAAACACCAGATACTTATGTGGACTAAGCTTCATCGACCTACCGGGTTCGACCAGCTGGGGATTTGAGAATAGTGGCCGTTTCGGTAGCCAGAGCCGGTATCAGCGGCGAGCTCGGCAAGGCATCGTGGTAGGCGACGTTTCGAGCGCCCTGGTCACTCAGGGGTCATCCGGACAATTCCTCTTGCCTCCAAGAGTCACACGTGCCAGATTCGTCCCGGAGCCAGACGAGCAAGCCAACCGAGGTCGGCCGATCGATCTAGATTTCGAATCTTACGAGTCAGAAAGGAGACAGCAGATCGGACGTGGCATGCCAGCGACAGCGAGGGAAGTGAGCATTGTCTGTGATAATCACGGCTGTTACCTCGCATGCGCCATGCGCAACATGGCTTCATTCGGACTCATCGGCCCAGAAGCGATGCGTACCTCTTACTCGTCCAATGTTCTGAAACCGACTCTCTTCCCCCAAGATCTAGAGACTATTTTGAGAATAAGGCTCATGTAGGTGGTGGTGCAAGAGTCGAAACAGACGCAGTGCCCCAGACAAGACATGTACCGTGGTTGCAGACGGGCTGGCCCAGTTGCTGTTGAGCCCCCGTTTCTCCGTACCAGGGTTGCTCAAGGCTGGAATTGGGCGGCATAGAACGAAACAGAAAGTATTCGTCTTACCAGCCGAGGACAACCGACCGGGTACAGGGCATAAACCACGGTCTGGAACCGACAGCTAGAGCGCTTGCTCTACGCATGATGGTCGCCATGCCGAGCCTACCAGACGAGTGCTGTATGCTGCAGGTACGGTCCCTAGCGGCAGAAGAGGCGACAGACTTGTCGTATCTCGACTGAGTGGAAGTAACAGGACGAACCGTCAGACATACTCACTCCGCGGAGAGTCCCCCCGGTTGTCTGTGCCGGTTAGTACACGCACGTAACTCCTAGAGCCACGGTTATTTTTGGTAAGAGAATGATAAGCATGAAAGCCGGGGCTCTCCACCAGACCTATCATCCTTGGAGATACATAGATAGCATGGGAATAAGCGGGTGGTCATGATCCAGGTATCGATCAAGAGAACAAGGCCTTATTGAATGGAGCCCGACATCAGAATTGCGCAATGTCTATCCACTGGGGGCGTTCGCTTTCGTCAATCTTGCGCTTAGAGTTATCCATCTTCCGGGAAATGTTGCGAGATCAATTACAGGACTAATCTCCCAGATTCATGCGTGGCCGTGGGCTAGGATGACGTGCCGAACGGGGGGGGCGTATTCAAGTAGGGTTTGTTGGAGTTGGAACCTTTTCCCCTTTTCAAATAGCTCGCCGATTTGCACCCCACTCTCGCCCTATGACCGGAGCAGGAACAAGGAACGAGCAAGGGGACCCCCAAGTCTGTCTGGAGTGCATTCAGCTGATCGGCTGTCCTGGGTGGCTTTTAGATAGTCTGCATTCGGAAGGCTCGTATGGAGACAGAGCGGAGATGGGGGAAGAATCCTCGCAATTCGGGCTCGCAAATAGCACAGGAAGTCGAGTATCATGGGCAAGGCGAGCGTGAAATGGGAAAGTGGGATGACGGATCAACAGCGTTCTTCCCTGGGCAAGAGCAACTGAAGAAGACGCCGATATAGACCGGTGGGGGAAGGAGCCCAACGGACGCAAATGCAATGGCGAATAGGAACGGGAAAGAGCATCCCGATCAGACAAACAGAGCACAGCCCGGCCCAGCCCCGATCGGTCTGCTTAGACGCAGTCAGTTGAAGAAATGCCTCTCCAAACCAAACCCAGAACTGACCTGGCCTGACGTTAATAACCTCAGGAGACGCCTGCCGTGAGGCGCTTCAATGGTGGGAGGGGTCGAATGGTTCAAGAGACACTTGGGAGTTGAACCAACTCGGTCGTCGGCTTCTCCTCAACCAATCAGGCACCAACTCCCCATACACCCTTCAGGACAGATGCATGCACTTCAGCTTGCAAGGAATATATCCTCCACTCGTTCATGATGCTACTGTCCATACTCGGACAGTCAAAACCCGCCTCTTTTGATACGGGATGGAAAATGTCTCTGTCCCTCCTGAGTGAGCTCACCTTCGAATTATCTCGAGGACGACAACCAACGTCACTTGGAGAGAATCTGAGTCTCTGGGCGGTGTGTTTCAACTCGCTCGCACAATCGGGACAGACAGGGTCAACGACAGCTGAACCAGAAGCCCTATGAATACGGTTATCTCCGGGACCTGGGTATTGGGCGATTCACGCCCCTAGTTGCTCTGATTAGCCCGGTGCCCATACGCAGTCGGACGTCAGCGGAAATTGAGGACCGGCGACTTCTCCACGCCTGCACTTGGTTGTTCCCTGGGGGCCTCGCGGCGCATTTTTCGATGCTCTTAGGGACTTTTCACAGCAGTGTGAAAGTACTTTTGAGAGCAACAGTCGTAATTAGACGCTAAGTCAATGGTCGGCTTACTTGCAGATCTTACATCACCCTTCGCCAATAGCCCTGCGCCGCCATCTGCAAGCACTTAAACTCCCAGGCACTTCTTCTCCAGCGGGTATCGCCTGAGGCTCCCGGCCAAGACCTTGTATGCTGGCATGGCTGCTACCCAACCCCGAAGGGAGGCATGTCTTTGGCTGGCAGAAGTCTGGTTTGGCGCTTCGGCCTTCATGCACTTGACGCAGGAACGGGACGGCTACTACAGGTCACCCAGCCAGGAAAAAGCTCTTCGTCGGTCCCGCAATCGAGCTGCTAAAATGTGTCATGAACCAGAGAAATCCCTTGTTAGGACCATCGCCGTGGAGAGCGGAACTGCAGAGCCATGAGTCGGGAAGAACCCCAGAAAACACGGATCATCCCTTCTTTGGCGCTACCGTACCACTGCTAGCCACCTGGTAGCTTTCGTTCAGATAAGTACGGTAGGGAGGACTAATACGTTGCAGTAATTCATCCGGACTGGTATGCCCATCATAAGTTCCTCATATCTACTGGAATGGCTACACTGAAAGTACTCCTGAGGCTCTTACCTACCTGGGACCGTTGCGCATGATGCAAGAAGCACAGCGTTTTGCAGTGTGCAGACGGCTGAGCAGCAACGGGGTAACCAGGTATAGGGAGAGGCATTGGCATTCCATGATAGCGGAGCCCAATACAGTGCGGCGGCGTCTTTGAACGAACGACAGTGGCCTGCCTACCTAGATCGAGATTGTGGAAATCATCATCAAATTTTTTTACATTTATTCGACTGAGACACTATACCTTTATTCCGCATTCCCGGTCCCAAAATGCTGGGGTTAGGGGTATCAAGTCAGGAATTGCAGTAATTACCATTGCAGACGAGAGACGAGAAAAGAAAAAGAAAGGATCATGCAGCCGCCATGATGTCGGGCCTCGTCTCAAGTGCTACTCACGACCGCCACTCAAAGATCCCGTCTGATAGCTCATACGCATGGCATCCATGGAACTACTGCGACCTGACGTCTGCTTGGGCATCCTAGATCTTCAGAACTCGGTTTCTCAGATTTAGAGACGTGGACCGTCAGTCATTGGGGATCATGTCAAGCTCGAATAAGACTCTACCCTCATATACTAACTACCTGCAGGTACCTTATTAAGTGAAGAGACGGGCCGACGCTGGCAACAGGCGCCAGCGCAACCATTTCCCACTTTAGAACTGCTTAGAGAGGATCCTACGTGCCAGCTTCAATATTACCTACATTGCTCTCTAATACCTTACCTCTTAGCCTACTCGTATGGGCAGTCCGGACCTGCCTAGCTCGTCAGTGCGGGGCAGGCTGGGCGAAGCTGGCAATCTCACATGCAGCCGGCAAGGGAAGACGGAGACGAGACGATCGTCCATTGCAGTGCGAACAGGGCCAGAAATGCTCGGGTTCGGTTGACTGTGACAGTGGCAGTTGTTACTGCAGCACTGCAACGAAGCGTACATACATTTACCCACTGCCCTCCTACCACGCAGCATGGGCAGTCCAGTACAGACCTTGTTACTTACTGAATGGACCCATACGGTCTCGAGCTCCCCGTCCGAGGTGGTTCTGACAAGGGACAAGGGGGAGCTCCTAGATTTTGACTCACACCTGCAGTAGTGGGCTCTACTGTGCAGTAGCAGACGATCCACATTGGCGATGAGATTCACTCACAATGACGAGAGGCGTTTCTCACGCTGGCGGTGCACAGCGAATGAACTCCCGAAAGCTGCTCGGCCCTGACCTGATCTCCCTGAACGCTGCATTCACTCACTTCCACAATGCTGCAACCTGAATAGACTTGCATCATAGAATGCACAGCTAGTCTAGGCTCTTCCCCCAACAGCAGCTCGCGGCGCGGCACAGCCTTCTGATGCTGCCTACTGCAGGACCTGTTGCATGTTCATTTCCACGCTGCAAGTCTGCCACACAGGAGCCACTCGAAGCGCTGGAAGCTGTGCCCTCTGCTGTAAGAGTATGTGCGCGTGCAGATCCCCATCGCCGTCAAACTCCACCACAAGCAAGGCTGCAAGCTTCCCCGCTGCTGCAAAGAGCTAATACCGTGAGGTAACGTTAAGAGTAGAGCTCGTTCTTCCCGATGCCTCAGCGGGCATCCAGGCCGTGAGAGGCTATCAGACAAAGTGGTCCCCTTGGAGGCTCTAGTCGGCTAGAGCTGCGGGTTCATATGCCACTCGTGCCATTGTACTGTGATAGTTTGTGGTGAACGGCGCCGTCTGGCACGTACGTCCTAGTTCAATGGATCCTTGAAAAGCATTCCTGGGATCCGGCCGTCTGGATTTCTTCTGATCCAAGGCAGATGAGCTGAATTCCCACCAACCGCTCCAAAGGGCCCTCTCTCTCACACTCGATCTCACGCATTAGGAAGTTAGTCTCAAGCGGTGTTAGCACCGAGTTACCAGGCAAGCCAGGCTCCCTTCGGAGGACGCTATATATGTCTTATGTCTCCGACGAATGCCCTGGTCGTTAGCAGTTGAGCCTTGAACCTATAGTAATCGAGCCGGAGCTTCGTTACGTTAGCCGCCCCCTTCCTTCCTACCAGCAAGCAAGCAAGCAACCTTGCACTGCTGCTGGCGGTTGAGAGAGAGAGACAGAGACAGGTCTCGTGCTTCGCACGCCTCTCTGCCGTCCATTGTCGTTTTCTCCTCCTCACGAGGGTGACCAGGTAAGTTGGCTCAGCTTCGTCAACTCTCTCTTCACCTACGCACACTCTCTCTTCGTACCACACTCAAGCCACCGTTACACCATCTTATCTGTTTGACTCCTGATCCTATTCTTGTGTCTCCCTTCTCCGTTGCAGACCGCTTAAGAGAGGCTCAAGATTGGCACAGCAGAGCCCCCCTGGTGCTCCCATTTGCTACGTGCAAGACTGTCCTGTAACGAGAGCCAGCGCTTCGGTCCAGCGTGGAGCAGGGCAGCTGCCTGCGAACCTGCCTTAGCTTGAAGTACCTTGAGTAGGTAGGTAGCTACCTGCACAGACCGCCCCCTGCTCCGCACCGCTGCACCGCTGCACTGCACTTTACTGCACAGCATTGCACTGTACGGGACAGTGCCTACCTATTCACCTACCTACCTACTTACCTAGGAGGTATCTACCTTAGCCACTTCACCTCCCAAAATTATTTACCGGTCCCAATCCATCTGCAGTTCCGTCCCTTCTTTCCCTTTCAGCCCCCAGGATTGGTTCCCTTCACCCTATATTTGCTGGCGCTCCCTGTTGGAACGGCTATAGCCATCCTCTCTGCTCGCTCAGTCTTGTTCTCCTTTACGATCGACTTTTTTTTCATGACGGTTTTCCTTGCTTTTGCCCCTCTCTAACCTCTCTTCTGTCTCGGGTATTTGGTTCCCTTTTTCTTCCCGCCCTGCCTGGCCCTAACCAAATCCCCTATCATAATTTCGACCGCCCGCTGACCTGTTTGCTCTCGCACTCTCTAGACCTCCTCCTCCTCCTAATGATTCTTCTTGTTGGTGTCTGCTACGACTTTTAACGACCTCAAGTAACGAGCAATGATATACGAGCCTGGGACTTATACTGCTTGAGAAATTGGCTGCCTTGCGAGTTGTGCCGTGGAATATTCATGTGCTTGATATACTGGCCGGATTCCTCCAAGATTAGCATTGCCGAATATCACGCTCCCGCTGCACCTATACTCTCGACGACTCTGCCTGTTGTTGGAACTGTCATGGTTAGGATTGGAGCACATGGTATGAAACAGAATCTGCTATGAGCGGGGATCAATCAACTACCAGGTAAGAAGAATGTTTTGGCGGCGTTCCCGTGTTTGCTTGCTGCTTGAGGAGGAGGCTGCTGTCTACATGCACGATTCTCTCTATACCCAATGACCGGAGTGCTGACATCCCCCGCCTCTACCAAGCTTTGGTGATCCAAACGCTCAGCCGCCTACACCGAAACAGACCCCAACTTCTACCATATTTCCAAGCCCTGTCTTCCAAACGCCCAAGAATCACCAGGGCCACTTCGACGATCCTGGCGGCTGGACGCCTCGATTCGCAGAGGAGTACTCCGTCTTCAACTCTACACCGGGCAACCTCCGAGGCTCTCAGGGGCCGTTCGTGGACTTTGGGTCATATCAATCGTCTGGGGGACATAAGCGACAGTTTTCTGCAGAGGGCTTTGCTGTCGAAATTGCGGCTCATGTGAATCACTTCTCGCCGAATCCCAATTTGCCCCCAGTTGATCCATCCAGACGTCTTGCCTCGTCTTCTGATCATACGGCACTTTCACCCGAGCAAGTAGAATCGGAGCAACAAGGCCCATCGCAGGAGAGGTCTGTGAAGAAGCCTCGCCGTAGCATTGCAACGAAGGAGCTTCAGGGACAGACAGCCACTCCTCCCCCTTCGGCCAAGAAGGGCGAGCGGAAGCTTGCGCCCAAGCTCAAGACCGACAACATGCAAAATGACCAGGGGTATGGCCAGCCGGACTTTGCAGGCACGCCGCAGCAGCCTCACATTAACACGTTCGTGACCACGCCCAGCGATGTCTTCGGGTACCCCATGTCGGCGCCCGCCACGGCTCCGGCCTTTACGAACACACGTCCATTCTGGGATACCGAGTTCGACGCCAGCATGGGTATGGATATGGACTTTGGCGCAAGTGCAGATGTCTTCCAAACACCCACGCCTTCCCACCGGGGATTGGGCTCCATGGACTGGGGACGACCGGGCGAAATGTTCCAAGACGCCAGTATGGTTCCCCAGCAGAACCAGGAGAATATGCAGCCCGCACGACGAGAACGTCAGATCGCACCCAAGAACGTGATAACGAACCTCGAAACAGACCAGGCTCAGTTCGTGGGGACATATCCGACGCCGATCGATGATCCTTTCGGAATTGGTCCTGGCGATGGCGTCAATCCTGGCCTGCTCTTCAGCCGGCCGCCCTCATCCAGCATGGAGTCAGCAGTGTACAATCCCATGCAGCCACCGAGCTCATCAGCACCGGCAGCACCCCAGTCGACAGAGATCCAGCAGAGACCAGCAACCTCGAAAGCTCCCATGCGTAATGACCTGCGCCGGTCAGCGAGCGTGAGAGAAATAGCCCCAAGCAAACAGTTCGACCGAGCATCCTTCATATCTCCTGTGAAGTCGTCCATGCGTCCTGGCCTGTCTCGAAGCTTCAGCGAGAATCGCGGCAAACGCCCTCTCGCCCGGTCCTCCCTGCCCGCCTTAGCCCCTGCACCCGTGCCCATGTCTCGCCAGGGCGGGGATCTAGGAAGCAATCGCGTGATGTCTAATGGTCCTCGCCCCACCGGGAGGACCTCGCCATTGAAGAACCACCAGCGTCTATCCAGCTTATCTTCCATTCCGGAAACTGGAACACCTCGTCCCCGACCCTCCGTAAAGTTCACCATTGATGCCAATGGCAGGGCTCACGCAGAGACCACGCTTGTCGTGGACGACGAGCCAGCGCCGCCCCCATCGAGCAACAGGAGAGGCCAAAACGCTCGACCACTGCACAAAGCTCAGTGGGATTCGTCGGACGATGACTCGTCGACGGATGACGAGCCCATCATCATTCCCAGCAGAAACACCTCCTTCACCTTCCCTGATCCCCACTTGTCGGCGTCCAAGCAGAACAACTTACACGCGCAACAACGCAGCTTCAGCGAGCGGAGCGTCGGCGGGTTCTCGATGCTCCCGGGCGAGTTGGCACCGACCGATCCCGAAAGCGAGGCCGAGACGATCATGAACGAGATGCCCCAGGAGGCCGGAGACGCCGCCAGCGAGCTCCGAAAGGTCATGCAGACTCGGCAGAGAGGCAGTGCGAAGAAACCCAAGAGTGGTGCGAGCACAGGGCGCCGACAGCGTTTCATGTCGTCGAGTGCCAGCTTCGGCGCTCCTCCGTATCACGCCAACTCGATCATCTCACCCACAACCTTGACGGACAATAGTCTCCCGACGCCCTCATCAGATAGGGTGCACAGCGTGCGGTGTGTCTGCAATCGGCATGAAGCCGGCCAGGACAGCTTCATGGTTCAATGGTATGTTCAACCCTGTCCTCTTTAGTGTCGTGTAGTATTTCTGACTCGTCATCTTTAGCGAATCATGCGAGTACTGGCTTCATGGCCGCTGCATAAACATCACCAAGCGCAACATGCCCTCGGTCTACATCTGCGCGTTCTGCGCCAACACGCCCAACATGAGGGGCGGTCGCATCCGGGACACCGGCCGCGGTCCTGCCGTCATGGGGCACGGCGGCGGATCGGCAACCTCACCACTGGCCCATAAGTCGTTCAGGTCGTTCCGATAACGCTCGCTATCTGTATTTCGAGGGGCAGCTTCTTTACAAAACAGATACATGGCGATAGTGCGGCGGACTGGGCTCTTCACATATCATTTCGAGCACTTCATCAGTTGACGAATTCGTGTCTTCATTGGGGGCGGACCAGCGTCTTGGATAGAAAAAGCATCGAGTCAAAGAGCAGAGAGCAATTCGGGTGGTTTCCATGTAGCACAAGAGAAAGGGGCAGAAAAAGGGCTCTCGCCAACAACCGTACATATGATACCCTAATATGCTAAGTAGGTAATGATGAATATCGGCAACGAAGTAAGAGAACAAGAAAAGAAAGATAAATACAGAGGAGACTATCTGAACAGTGTAGCAATTGTATCGTGCAATGCAATCGTACCTTAGGGACACACCGAAGGCTGCTAGGCTGGGTGCCAATGCATGCTTCCCCAGCGTATTGATGTGGTTTGTTACTACAGGTTGGTGACTTCTTGTGGTTTGTTTATGGTGCTGGTCAAGGATTTGATGCATTGACAGCAACGCAGGCGGGTCGCTGCAGATCCAATGGCTGTGGGCAAGCGCTTTTGCTCTGGGTTGGAGACTCCGCTTTGGATTGCAACTCCCACGATCAGCGGGCAATATGTTACGATGCACCTCCTTGTGAGCAGCTCCAGCAAACGCCATTGAGCTTATTCGTTTCAAGCATTTCATCTGATATATACGCTAATTTCTTACGTCGCGGCAACATCCTGCATGTTGCGTAATCTAAGCTCTGTGTGCGTGCACTGAATTGAGTGTTGAAGTTCTTTTGACTCTCAGGGGTCAGCAGAGAGATTGGGCATTGTAAGGTTATTGATATATGCAACATGTCATCTGCTATGAGAAAAAGAATTGAGATTTCGTACGCCGACCCATGCAGTAGGTTTCTTTCTATATAATCCCTTCATATCCATGTACTCGCCATGCTCTATTCTTCAGCTGCAATTATTTAGTAGATTATGCCACCAGTATTCACACAATAAGTTTACAAATTCTATACAAGAGCTTGGCCCATGAACATACTCTGCTTGACCTCCGCAACAACATCCCGACGATCATCCTTGCCGACAATGACGATCCCCCGCCCGCGCCGCCCCATACGCCCGGCACGGCCCAGGCGGTGGATGAAGTCGATGGTGGTATGGGGTACATCATAGAGCACGACGTGGCGCACAGCGAGGGTGTCGATGCCCCGCGAGGCCAGATCGGTCGCGACAATGACCTTTGTGTTCGGCAGCGACGACTTGCGCGCGGGCGCCACCTGCCCGGCGTCCAGCCTGAGCGGCTCGGACGTGGTGAAGGATGCCAGCATCTCCGACTGGCGCTGCTCGGGGGTGTCGCGGTGCAGCGCGACGGCGTCGATGCCCTTGGACACGAGGTAGTCGGCGACCTCCTGCGTCTTCTCGCGCTCGTTGACAAAGACCATGATGCGCTTGACGTCGACCTCGCCGGCGCCCTCGTGCCGCGTGGCGTCCTTGCCGATGGACCAGATGGCGTCCGCGCAGGCGAGGTTCTTGTTGTTGCGGTAGGGGTCCTTGGAGGCGTCGATGACGCCCAGCTGCACGCGCCGCGGGATGGCGTGCAGGTTCGGCGTGGCGATGCGCCTCATGTTGGGGAACTGCGTCGCGAGGTAGGTGTCGAGGCGCTTGGGGATCGTCGCCGAGCACAGCACCAGCTGCTTGAGCGATGGCAGTGCGCGGTCGACGATCTTGGTGGTTACGGGCGCGAAGCTGCGGTCAAAGAGCGAGTCGGCCTCGTCAATGATGAGATGCGAGACGCGCGACAACACGTTCGGGTCGGACTCGGCCACGGAGGCGAGGAGGTGGGGAGTTGAGATGACGATGTCGATCCCGCTGTGCGAATATAGATCCCGCTCGATAACTTTGGCGGAGAAGTTCGCTGACATGAGGCCTGTTTTGAATTTGACGATGTGCGACAATGCTTTGCTCACGGCACCGACCTGATCGACGAGCTCGGCGGTAGGGACCAAGACGATGATGCGCGGCCGTGCAGTACTAGGGTGTGGTTCGAAGGTAGACCGACCTCTATAACTGGGATCGTTTCGTAGGGCCTTCTCTTCCTCCAGACGCTGCTTGAACGCAGCAATCTCAGGGTCGTCGGCCTCTGCCTTCTTCAAGGCATTGATGGATGGCAGAAGATATGCCAATGTCTTCCCAGACCCGGTCTCAGCCGCGAGCAGAAACTCCTCTCTCCCCGAGATGGGCTTTGCCCTAGACCGCCGTGACGAGCCCGTGTCCTGCCCAAGTAATGCCGGTATCGCCAGTCTCTGCACCGGTGTAGGCTTTATATCGACCATACCCTTCAATACATCAGAGGCGATCGCCTCCTTAATCGAGGGCAAAAGGTCGAAATGATCAAACGACTCAAGCTGTTGGATACGCGCCTTGACGCTCGTCCTTTGCCCATAGCTGATAGTCGTGAGAGCCTTCTGCATCTTCAGCGCCTTAAATCCCCTCCTCTCATCCTTGCGCCCCTCCTTGTCTCCTGTGTCTCTGTCCTTATCCCGATTTCGCGACTGCGCAAGCCGTCGGATGGGGTCGATGTTCGCCACTGTCCTGTTCATGCCACCGAATGGACCCTCGACCGGCCGTCTCTTCGGTTTCCTATCCACGTCACGTCTTGCAGCGGCCGGTTGTGCGACGCGGTCGGAGAGGACCATGCGCGATGGGCGCTGGGGCTCCCGAGAGGCGAAGCGGCGCGAGATCCATGGCTGGAGAGGATCCTGAAGATTTCTCCTAGGCAGTGCTGTGAGCCTGCAAAGCGTGCATATCGAGTCCGATGCAGCGCTTTTCCACATGGTCGGTAATGTGCGCCAATCCGTGGAATTGCGTAAAGATTCGACCGGGAAGCGAGGCCTGAGGTGAGGACTAGCTAGACCAACGTAAATGCTCAAGTACCTAGCTCCAAGAAAAAAAGTTCCATGCAACAGTAGGAAGCACAGACCAAGGGGGAAAAGTTGAAGTGTCTTATCGGGCCCGATAACGTCCCATGGTAGAATTAACTATTAAAAGTGCCTAAAGCGAAGTATGACTTCGACAAATATATATATGTACAAACGCGCCACGGTGGGCGCTTTTCTTTTTAAGTTCATCGAGGAGCATTGCGGTGCTCCCTCAGCGATCGTAATAGAAAGTAAAGGCTGCTTGCGCTGCGTGCCCTTCCTATGTCTCTGCAGAGTTCTATATCGTTGAACTCCAGAGTTTAACCCATATACACACTCCTACCTGGCCATCCCGCTACATCCTCTCTTGCGGTTGGCGCACCTGTTTGTTGTATCGCTCCCAACCTGCGCGATACGTTTCCATGATTGGTATGGGGGGTAGAAAAGTCCTCAAGAAGCGAATATTGACAAGTTTCGTTAATCGTCACAACTGAGCTCTAAGGAACCCCAGGCCCGGCCCACACTGGGGCTTATCCAGAAGGAAGAGATCCGCTCACTGGGATTTCTTGGTCTTTGCATCGGGCAGATACGACCTGTCGTCGTCGCCCTCCACATTCTTGATGATCTGGTCAGTCTCTTCCGAGTGCTTGGCCCACAGCTCCCTGGACATCTTCTTCTCCTTCTCAAACAGCTCCGGGTCCGGCTTACGATAGCTTCCGCCCAGACGGTCCCAGAGGGTGGTGAACTGGCCGTAGTTGTAGGAGAAGGCCGAGTGGTGGATGCTGTGGCACGCGGCGCCGTTGATGACCGGGTTGTTGGCGACGTACTCTCCGTCGTGGATCATGATCGTCCAGATCTGAATGAAGGTGAAGAGCAGCACATACGCCCACTTCTGAAGAGGGAAGATCAACGGGAAGAGGTGGTAGGGTAGCGACTGGGCAAAGCCGTCAACCGGGTGGAAGGCAATGGCGGCGAAGGGCGTCGGCATGATCCACTTATGATGGGCCTTGTGCATGTGCTTGTAGATTCGGGGATGGTGCAGGCCGCGGTGGATGTAGTAGATGCCGCAGTCGGTGAACATGAGGAACAGTGGGAACTGGAAGTAGTTGTACCAGAGGCCAGGCCCGTCGGCTGTAGTGTCGTACATCTTGGAGTATCCGCGCACTTCCAGCCAAAAGCAGGGTGCCGTGAGGAGAGCCATTCCTGGTATAGAGGCGAGAGACTGGCGAATCTCCAGGGAAACCTGGTTCTTCAGGTATTTGGGGTGATTAAACGTAGCATGGTCGAAGACGAGGTAATACGATGCCGTCGCAAAAATGAAGTAGAGCAAGGTGCCGAAAATGCTGCGTTATGCAATTAGTGTCATGACTGGAAGTCTCATATCCATGGCGATGCTTACCAAGTGATCATGTACAAGCTCAGCATCTGTCTCCATGGGTCGTCCCGCGGAAGTCTGGACGAGTCAACCCATTTGGATGGAGACATTGATAGATACTGAGACGCAGGCTCCCAATGGTATGGCTGGAAAGAGGTGGTGGTGTTCTGGAAACCATCATACTGGATAGCCCCTGGACCTCGTGGCAAAACCGCCGCGTAAAGACGGTCAAAGACCAGCGAGTCCATGAGCTCGAGAACGACATCCATTTTGGCGCGTGTTGCTGAGCGCGAGGATTCCTCTCAGGACGGGTTTCTTGACCAATTCGAAGGAGCTATCTGCTCTCTGCAACCTAAATAAACAAGAAAGCGCGAAAATGCAGAAGACGGAGCCCCCAATCGCAGGTGGAGGGGAATGTTCTATGGCCGATAATGCGCCGTTGGGAAGTTTTCAGTGTCCCGGGAATTCTCAACATCCCGAAAAATCACATGATTGGAGCGCTGGGTAGCATTGAAAAGTGGAGTCATTTTCCCGAAAGCTCCGTCCGTAAATGCGCGGAGGAGGCGAGCAATCCATTTCCCAGAGTTCGGTGCGGCGGTCAGGCTCGGCGATAGCGGAGTAGGGTGGGTGCAGATGTCGATAGCAATAGCAAAATCCAGGGGTCGACGGTAAACATTTCAGACTGGCGAATTATGATGACCAGTAGGTTTTCAGCTACAAAACGGTTCCTGAGGCTCTTTCATTGAAGGATTGAGACAATTGGATTTGATTCGCGAAAGGCAATTCTTAGCCAAACTTAGTTTCAGAGTTCCTGTGCTAATTAGGGCGCTTTTTGGTGGTTCATCAACGGTCATTCCGCAGTCCTGAAAGTCAATTAGATAGAGATGCAAGTGCTCGTGTCTATGGATCAACGCTTGTTCGCGGATCGCCTATGATGTCCTACAATGCCATACAAGATTTCCTAGCCATCATGTTGTTTCAATTGTCCTCGCCCAAAAAAACTTTTCCATTACCACCGAGATGAGAGGGTTGACTACAGTACTTCCTTGGTACATTACTTTCCTCCTTGCTGTTCGACGTGCGAGATCTACGACGTTTGAATTCGTGCCTTCCACCAGGCGACTCCGAGTACAACTACGGCGGTCCCAGCCGTTAATAGTCTATCATGGAGTCAACCATTGATGACAGCAAGATCAGATGAGGTGCTTCTTACGTCTTGCGTCGTGATGCAAACAGCCTACCGATGAATCCACCGATCCAATCGACAAAGATCAATCTGAAAAACGACAAGAACCAATTGCCACTCTTTGCGGCTGTCCTTCCAGCCTCTGAGAGCGATGCGGGTGTCGGAGCACGGTCAACTGGGCTCAGGACGTTTCTCTTCTTCAGTTGGGTCGAGTTCGTCGTATCGGTGCCTGTTGATCGGGACTGGGGCCCATCCACAACGGTATCCGTCTCGTTACTATCCGCCAAGCTTCTCGTTGTCCCGGACTCTTTCTGGCTTTCGTCACTGGCTCCACTAGGCTTGGAAGACTCCGCGGCATGGACCACAACCTTCGGGCTGTGAGACTCGGAATTCTCGGGAACAATTGTGGTTATTCCCTCTTTCCCTCTTCGCTCGGCCGAATCAAAGTCTTGTGTCTCAATTCCCAGCGTGGGGCCGGCAGTGTTTGGAGCTAGCTCAGTCGGACTACCTGGTTCCGGTGGATGGGGTGAGGCAGCTCTCTCGGGTGTCAAGTATCCCGAATGCTCGTGCTGAGCGTTGTTTCTGGCTTCGGCCTCACCACCCTTGAGAACAACAGCCTCATCTTCGTCGCTATCGAGAGACGTTGGCGCCAGGACTGGCTTTAAAGCAGGACTCGGCATTAATATCACCGGAGTTGGTGACTCATCAGCTGTGGCGCCTTCCAGAGACATCTCTCCCTCCACGTCCTTAGCCACATTGATGGCCGCCTCTGCGCTGGCTGCTTGCTCCACTAATGGTGCGATCTCCTGTGCTGTGGTGTGCTCCGACTCCAATTCCTTCTCCTCTGTGGCTTCCGCTATCGAACCCAGGCTTAGGACTGACGATGATCGATCACTACTCAGGGATCCTCTAGATCCTCTCTTAGGGACATCTAGACGGTGGTCTGGGCGGTGATGATTGCCTCGCGACATAATCGGGCTACTGGCCGGTGACATGCCAAAGTCGCCAGGAATATCAGTGACACTGTTGCTCCTCGCTGCAACGATCGGGGAGGGTGGCACTCCCTCGAAATGAGTCTGATCCTCGTTCAAGCCCGTCTCCATCTTGCGCACCGTGTCCATAATCTGGTCTCGATTGGAGGGGAATTGCTCGAGAGTCGGATCGTTTAGATCCACATCGTCTACCTCGAATGCCGGGTCTCCCAGCAGCTCTTCAGGATCGTCTTGTTCCGAGACTCCTGGGATCTCGTCATCTTCATATAGACCAATACACTCGTGTGCAAATAAAGGCACGCGATCTTGGGTTTCCCCGGGTAGATCGAGGCTGTCGTCCCTCATGTCGCCTCTAACGTCAGCAAGATTATGATAAGTCACTGGAGTGGCGACAAGGTCAAATTTCAACTGTGTGAAGGTTAGAATGAGCAGGAGGCTACCTACTGCACGGAGGACTCACCTCATCGCGGTCGAGCGTCCGCGCTGTGTCGGCGACCTCCGCAGCCGTCATCGCCACTTGTGGGATCGGTGTCAATGATAATCGTCGAACCCCTAATCTTCCAGCCTCCTCGTCTGTTATCTCTGGCTCGGGGTCCTCTTGATCTAACAGGGCAGCCGAGTCCGCCACCTCTGCTGCAGTGCGTACGAACCCGGGGGTACTCGCGCCTGAGCGCGAGATAGAGTCTTGTAGCATAGACACAGGAGTCTTCAAGCTCGCCTTGGAAAATTCCCTATTTGTCTCGATAGGCTGAACTTGACTCTCGGGCTCTGGTTTCAACGCTGACTTATCGTCCGTTTCGGATTTGACCTTGATATCTGGTGCCTCCTCGACGCCCTTCTCCTTGTCCAGTGGTTCAAAACCAGACTCCATCCTGATTTTGGGCTGCTCCTCGATATTGTGATCTTGCTCAATTCCCTTTTCGTCGATACCTGGCTCCACCTTCGTCTCAGGCTCCAGCTTAGTATCCAGATCGAGCTTTAGATTTTCTGGACTATGTGGTGCTTCGAGAAGGTTGTTCTGATTCCCAGAATCGTCGGTGACTAGAGCAAATTGGCCATCAATTCGCCGTCAATAGCAGTGGTGGACGTACCTATAGGCGCATCGTTATTAACGAGCCACCAGTCACCCTCGCCAACGCGAAATTTGTATTGGAACTTGGAGCCTGGCTGAAGCTTGAGCTCTTTCTTGAAGGTATGTTCGCCATCCTCGTCGGTTGTGTAGTCCATCTGCTGGGGCTCCCATTCTGGATCGGAGAATGAGCCTGCGACATACAAGGGTGGCTGGGTGCCAGACACCTTGTAGGTGATGGTGACAGGCACCTTCGCTTCGGCCATGGTAACTTCTCACAGGCTGTCGAGATGAGGATGCATGGCACGACCGAGGTTATAGGCTGTCTTTTTGTTCTCTTGGAGCTTCCCGGTTGGCTGCTCTTGCATGAGCACGAGACACGGGAGCTGTACTCCAAGTATAAGAGCAGTGGGAGGTGCGTTCAAGGTTGGTGTAATATTAGAGCAAGCTGCCTTTCCTAAGGACCTGTCAATATTCTTTGTTTCCAGACAGCAAGATCATGAAAGGAAAAAAAGAAGGAATTCCTAGGACAATAGCCAGCATCAGACATGTTGGAAAGGTTGGATGGCAGGGTCAGACAGTGGCGCTCTCAATTGCGGGGCTGGAGTGCATGGTATCACGACAGGGCCCGAAATTGAGATATGCCTGTGCTCTGGGGATGAAGCGAGCTGGTGCCTTACCTCAGGTATGCCGTAGTAGAGAGCAAAAAAAGAAGAAATGTTCGATCGAGAGTTGATGACTTTCAGCTTCTCCCAGATGCAAAAGGCAGCCGAAAGTAAGATCAGGTCAGGTCATGGGAGGTGAGGTCAGAAGGGTGGCTTGCGTCGCTTGGGGATGATGTGAGTGGTGGTCGGGGAATCCTGTTGCAAGGCACCTCCAGGATGGGGCGTCGGCCGCTGTACTGTCTAATGCAAGGTGAGGTAGAGACCTACTTTACCTAAGGGACCTAGGTAGGCAGGCAAAAATGAGGCAAGTATTGTACAAAGACTGCCCCTCAGATCTTTGTGCTGCATCATGACCATCGGATGATAGCTGGGTACGTCTTGTTAGCTACCCTGGTCTAATAAGCTTCCCCAGACCAGGATAGCTCTCTGATGGACAGTTTACTCCGGGCGGCAACAACTGGCCCCATGTGGGCTTGCACCGAGGCCGTTGAACTCAAATCGAATACCTGCCAGCCAGAGCCGCTGGCATTGAAGGGATTCAACCAATGTATTCTTTTATAACCTGAACCGTGATGGAGGAGGATGGTGATGATGTGTTGTGCTGACAGGCTAATCTTACGAATCAAGCGATCGAATTGGAAGCTTGCATGGGAACCTGGAAATATTGGCCTGCGATTTGCCTACCTGTTTGCTTCACCATTCGACTGCATGAAAGAGAGCTGAATGTACCATTTTCCCGGGTCTGACCCCAGCATTTCGAATCCAAAGGGCACAGCTCTAACCAGGAATTCAGGAGCAGATACCTAGTCTCGACAGCATCTGTAGCTTAAGAAAATTCAAGCAGATGTTTTGCCCGTGTCCTGAAAGCCTAAATACGCAATTGATTGACTTCCAATGAGCATAAGATCTCTCACAAAGACAATGAATGAACGAAGAGAGGATGAACCTCGAAGACACCTAATAAATGTGGAGTACTTTGTGACTACGTCAGTGTGGCTAATGCTGGTCTTTTTTCTGCCCAAGGCGGTGTATCGCAAACACCTATCACCACCACCAAAGCCCACCTGTGGAGCGATCACATTCCAGCAATCTATCGATCACGAACTGGACCCAGTCGCCAACATTCCTCATGCTCCCTTTTCAAACCCTTTGACCCCTCCGTATCCCCCCTTTTAACCAAGGGAGCTGGATTCTCTCTGCATACATTAATAGACAAGATGTCCCTGCCTCCCCAGACCATTCAGATCAAGCGCAAGAGGGGCGAGGGCGAAGATGACCAAGCCCCCTCTTACCTCCGTATGTACGCCCCTGTTTCGCTGGTGTCAACGACGTACTAACTGAATCCATAGGCGTGGAGGAGAAGCGACGCCAGAGTGGCAACTTCATCTACCAACGAAGAGACCTAGCAGACCAGGCGAAAGGTCCAAACCGTCCCCGCCGAGACCTCAAGCCCGTCATCCACTCGTCCAAGCCAGGTGACGAACTCATCCCACTCGAACGAGTTAAGGCAGCCTCTCGAGCTGGCAAAGATGTGTCCACAGCGGTGCCGGAGGCCAATGGCCCGCCGAAGTCCCCTGCGTCGTCCGGCTCTGCCCTCGAACCCCGACGATTCCACATGTCGAGAAACGCGATAGTGCCTCGTCCGGCCCTAAGCTCTGGTATCAGCAAGAAGTCGCGGCATTCATCCCCGGCTATCTTCGTCGAGCGCAGCCGGAAGAGAAAGGTTGCCGATGCCGTGGAACGAGAAATGGCGCGGGGCGCCTCCGCAATGGACGTGGAGGTAACTCCGCAGCGGCTGCCGAAGCGACCGGGCGCAGACAAGAAGCAGCCCTCAGCTCCTCAAAAACCCACCGACAAGGCGAAGTCGGGCTTGCCGCCGTCTCTCATGCATCGATGGACCGTGGACCAGGATCAATTCGTCCGAGAGATGGAGGAGTTCACCCTGCAAGAGATTGGGCGCAACATCGATAGTATGAACCAACAGAGCAAAGCTGAACCACCTGCATCGAAGCAAGGCCCGACGTCACCCCAAGGGATGAAGTTCAAGCCGAAAGCGCCTCTCAAGAGATATGCTGAGCGCCATCCCGAGGTTGCTGCCGCTGCCAAGCAGACGAACAAGGATGTCGACATGGATATTGAGGATAGCGACATCGACGAGGACGACTATGTCATTGAGACGTACATCCGTGTTCCCGCTACAACCCTGGGTGATGCGGTACCTCCGGAGACAATCGGTCTGCTAGTTTTCGGCACAGAACAAGATGTCGAGTTCTTCTACGGAAACGAGGATGACAGTGATGATGACTGGGCCGAAGACGATGAGGATGAGAACGGTGAGTTTCTTCAAGATGTGATTATGCCCAATTGCTTATGATTTGCCAGCCGAGGATTACTACACGGCAGATTATCCAGATGATGAAGTCGCCTCCGACGATGAATACGGTCGCGATCCCTATCACTATCGCAACGGCAATGCTTCAGATCTTGAAGAATTCGACGAAGACGCCTACGCCATCGATGACCAGGATGAACCCAGCCAATTCAGACAGTACGTTGGTCGCCGACCACCACAGCAACGCTCCGAGGACGAGGATATGATGGCACTGTAGTCCGCAAGTCACATGCACATTGTTTGCGAGGTCTTGTTTGCTATATTGTGTCATTGCAGTCCATTCCCACCCTATCCTATTCATAGTGGAAAAAAAGATACCCTCCCTATCATAATAATAGCCTTGGCCTGATCATACACATCCCACATGTTTTCATTACATTGTCTCGTGGTATAAAACCCCGTTATTTTACATGACCGACGTGGCAAGTAGCCCGCCCGGGTCATGTCTAAAGCGTACAAAGATTTGAGGAGTCCGCCGCCCAGCCAGTGATATACTTTTTTTGGTATATACAACGAAGGTGAAGAAAATAAAGTTCAAGGTGAAGAAGAGAAGAGAAGAAAACGAAATTATGAAATGCTCAGGATGCGATGACTCCTCCTGGCGAAGAGTAGGGACATTAAAAACGTGGAATCATGACGGCATTACCAAGAGGGCGCTTTCAATCACGCCTCTGGTGGGTTGCCATGGTGAGTGTGGACTACTCGGGTCTCCTGGTGCTTAGGTGACCATGGAGGTAGGCCTCTTGCTAACCTCTGCTGGTTTCTGCGCGCGGCTATTGCGCACGTTAGCATGAGTTCACAAAGTTGCGGCGTCGCGATCAGACTTACTCAACTCTTCAGCCCTTTTCATGTGCTCTGGTGATACCCATGAGTAGTTCTCATAACAAACACGCTCAGGGTATCGGTCGATCAGGCCGAGCAATTCGTCTTTCTGTTGGCGAACTTGCAGGAGGATGGTGTATTCCTTGCCATCATCATTGAAGAGGAGGTTGCCGTCCTTGTCTAGGGCAGGAACGAAGTTATTGAGTCGGTAATAGCAGCCCTGCAAGCCTTGAATTCTCCGCTTGCTTTCAATCTCAGCCTTCTTCTGGTCTTTGATGAGCTTGGAAGCGTGGCTGTGATACGTCTCAACGACTTCCAACCAGTCTTTGCCAATGTCGATGAGTTGGTAAAGCATGAAATTTCTGCATTCGATCATATACTTCTGATTGAAGTGAGGCTCATTTTCAGTCTTCTTGGGTGCTCTCCTCTTCTTGATGCCGTCTGACACAGGACCAATATGGCTACCGTGAATCCGTGGTTGACATAGCCGAGGAAGCTTAACAGTGTGCTGAGGCTGAGGGTAATATGAATACTCGGACGACGAGAGCGAGCTATCGAAAGATTGGTTGGGGCTGGCTTGGAATGACGGGCTCCTACTTTCACGCGGTGTTCTTGGGGACATCAGAGGCGACAGGTGCGCACTGGACAGCCCCGGAGACGACAATGATGGTGTGGCAACAACTTCGGACCAGTTTGCGTCGGACTGGTAACTACTACGTCTCGTAATTGACGATGCGTTAGAAGGACGGCGGTCATCACGAGCACGCCAAGATGCAACAGTAGCGTCCAGGTCCTTCAAACTGGGAATGGTCCATTGCTGGAGGTATGGAAGAGACCGGGGAACTGTCAGAAGCATGAGCATCGAACTTTTCCCGGGAAGATGACAAGAGATATGCTTACCGTCAACAGTTAACTCGGGAACAACTTTGGTCTGTGGCATAACAGACTGAACCGAGAGATTGGCAAGGACCTCAGCCGCGCTTTCTTCAGTGGGAGAGTGCTTGACAGGACCATTTTGGAGTATATTGAGCCCTGGCATGGTCACGATCCTCGGGAGCTTTCCGATGTTGAAAGAAGATGGACTTCCTTCCCTCTTGGAGGGTAGGTCGACGGGCCGGATCATATTCTCAAGAGATACGGGAAGACCAGTCTTGAAAAGGTGGTGTGGTGAGGAATGAGAGAAAGCCACTGGTGGGTTGGGTATAACAAGCAACCACTATTATATGGACAAAGGTGTGGGAAGAAGGGCATGTACTCCGCGATGAACGTTGAGACCTCAGGGTCAGGATTTCCAGGGTCTTATTTATAAGACGTTTGGGGATGCGTCCCTGATCTACTCTGCACAATGGGTGATCGAGGGTCTGTCCTTGTTCCAGCAACTGACACATTCACACACACCTGCCAAGGTTCCCCCATGGACTTTTACAATGGCTTTCTCGTTTATCGATCGACGAAAGTAGCTTTCCAACATGCATAGACAGGCCCGCACATTCGGCCCATTCTGTCACATTATGGAAGAGGCTAGGTGTGTGTTTGTACTCGATAGCGCAGGCGGGACATGCAGTAGAATGGGAGACTTGCCAGCAAACCTAATGCACCGCCGAAAACAAGAGTCGACAAGGGGTGTGTTGTGGTTGCGTCTGCTAGTGCACAACCAAGACTGAACCGCCCGATCTATCTCCGCTTTTGTGTGTGTGAATTGGAGCAAGGGGGCGCCTTGTGCCTTGTATGTGAAGATGCAGAACCCGCCAGATTTGGCGTTTGGCAAGTGAACCCCAGGTGACCCAAACAGAGATGGCGAGATGAGCCGTCAACCAAAGCGGTCCGGGCGGAGGGCACAGATCAACCATGTGTAAGTTCATTTGCTGAATGTCTCAGCTCGAGTTGCCCCCCCAGGTTGTAAGTCAGCCCGGGGCCAGAGTGAACGCTCCAGGGTTGCGCCTCCATAAGCCATCTTGTGTAACGAGGACCTTTTGCCTCCTGGAACTGAACCTGCCTCCGCCTGAGCCGCTGTTCTTGATTGGGTAATCCAGCACGATCTGAAGTGGCGGTAATGATGTGGCTTTCGCTTGCAGACCTGAGTTCTTACAGTTCTTCCAAAGGCTACGGTTTCTCACAGTCCTCGATGACGCCTCCAAAAGCGTGAGGCGCATGAAGGCCGGGACACGATCAGTGACCCTGGACCGATGTGATAATTAGACCTCACACGCCCCCTCCCTCAGATTTGGCAATTGTCAAAACCGCATGGCGGGTGATTTTCACAAGGAACAACCGGCAAGGTCAGGAACTTGGCCCATGCCTACTGCAACGGCATGGTGAAGCTTATGGGGCGCCTTGAGAGGGGCCCTCTAATTCAACGCTTGACAGGGCCCAGCACACGCAACCAGCTGGAGCCAAATGACACCGTGAGGTTTTAGTTGCAGAAGATCGGGCTCCAGATCGGTGGTGGGGGTCTTCATGTACCAGGGACGCGATTCAGATCGCCGACCTGGTTGTTGGTCCATGATTGGGACTAGAAGGGACAACGTATGTTCTGACTTGACTGACTGACCGATAGAGTGACTGACTCTTGTGCTGATTGTAACGCTGGACAGGGTCTCCCAAGAGTTACTTCTGGTGACACCACAGGCCCCCAAGGGACGTCTTCCCCAGCGGCCCGCAACTCTTACCCACACCACACCAGCTGACTCGGATGCATGCCGTATATCGATTGTCGTATTTCTTTCGTTCTGTAGCTAATGTTAGTTCTCCTCACTCTTCACCTTGGCAACGAGGATGTGAGTTTGAGCGTTCTGTCCATGTCAACATTTGCACTGCTCGTAACAAATTGATGCAAGTACGTCATTATTACATCGCTACAAATCATCCGAAGAGATAGCCACAGGCTAAGGCACACAGTCCATAGCTAGTAGGTGGGCATTTAGACAGCCAGCTCAATAGGGTAAAATCAGGTCCTCGCACCTAAGGCAGGGTAAATGTTCGGATTCTGCGAGGCATAACTAGGTACCTTGGTTTGTAGGTAGGTAGCTAGGAACCTGACGGTTGCTGGGTGCTGGTCAAGTCGAGGTCAGCGATTGGCTGGCAGGGGCGTCAGCGGCAGTGAGCTAGGCAGGTTCTTATTCCCGTTTATGTCGAGCTGCAGGAGGCGCATGGTTTGGTGCTCAACGCTTGTCATTTTCAAGATCGTGGGTTGATCTGATCAACAAGCAAGCATCGTGCAGCCTGTCAACTCTTGCCTGGGTGCCAGGCTTGCAGCAAGGAAGCAACGGGCAGCATCAATCAGGCCTAGCAGACCTGGCCATTCTTGCCATTCTTGCCGTGCTTGTCGTTCTGACTTGACTTCACCAGGCCAGGCCAGGCGCAGTTGCCTGTAGTGTGCACCCCGACAGCAGTCACGACCTGTCTGGGTACCTGCCCCCGAGGTGTCCGGACGAGCTGCCTCACTGCCTTCCAGGTGCCACCGGTGGCCATCGTTCCTTCCCTCTACGGCCGGGGTTCCAAGCTGAACAGAAGAGTGGAGAGCGGGGCACGCTCCGCTCCGTGCAGTCGTTCATTCAGTCCAGCAGAGCAAGGGCTCAAAGGGAAGAAAGGGAAGGAAGGGACGGGACGAAGGAGGGTCGAGTCCACCTCACACAAACAAGAACTTGCCCAGAATTGCTACCGTCCCTCCGCCCTCACCTCACCTCACCTCACTCACAGCCTGGCAAGGCCTGCAGTGTAGAACTTACTTGAAAGAGGTAGGTCGTGCTTGCTCTACAAGGTTGTTGACGACCAACCTGAAAGCAGTGCAGGGACGGTGGAGTTTCCTACACGACAAGATCCACCGCCCAAGACCTTTCTTTTTCTGCTCCCAGTCAGGTATTGCACCACCAGAGAACCACCTCCATTTTTGCTCTTTGAACGAGCGATTCGGGCTTTCGTCTCTGCTGCTATGCTACGCGGTGGCTTGATTTCAGGGCTAAGGACGCCTTTTTACCTCGATGTCTCTACGCCGTTCTCTCCCTTATGTGTACAGTACCCATGCTCGCAATGACCTGCCATTTAATTGTGATGGCAAAAACCATGGCTCGGCTTCAGAAACAAACTTGCTCGGCCCTCTCGCTTTGCTTCTTGTGCTTGTCAGCTGAGCTTCCTTCCTTTACAAGAAGGGTGTCATCCTCCGGATAGCCCCAAGACGGAGTCTACTCGTATGAGGCCCAGGTCTACGGTTCCTATGTGGAGCAGTCCGTAAGGTGGACTGGACGAAAGGGCCCGGCCCGTGCGGACGAGACCCGCTGTGCCAGCTCTCAGCATACGGGCATCTGCAATAATTGTCCTTGAAGCAGGGAGGAACAGCTGATGATCATCCTGTCGAACCAAACTCTGAACGGCACAATGTACCTACTCATGCTCGAGTCGTCCATCCAGTGCTAAGGAAACATCCCTCTCCGCTAGGAACGGTCCGGTGGCCAATCACTATCTGGGGATTAGTCGGTGGAGATGTCGAACAGGTTCGAGGAGTATCATCGTTACACATCGCGGGACCACAGCTCGGCTTCAAGCCAATGACAATCCCGATCTGTATCGGCTGTGGCGTTTAGCGTAGACATACGACATTCTCTTGAACTTCCACGCTACGCTGCATTCCTCTGCTGCCCGCACGGATCGTCTATTTTAGACCCTAGTAAAAAGTCTTGGCAAAATTTCCTGCTTCTGCTACCTGAGGCTCTGCTTGGCAGTTAGATCTGAGTGATCGACACAAAACAGATCACACGAGGACTGAGAGGGACAACGACCTTTCCGGAGTGGGCAATGCCAGGCACAAAGTCATACGAGGGTCACATGTGTAGCGCATGCAGAGAACCCTAAAAGAGCGACCGTCACTGCGATCCGGAAGCCGCGATCCCCCCTTTCCCACCGAAGTGGGCGCGCTACTTCACCTAACGTGAGGGGCGCCCATCTCATCTCATGTCCTCTGGGGCACGGTCTGGTGTTGAGACCTTCGGATAGGGGCACAATAGGCCACCGTCGCGCGATTTGGAATATGAGACCTCTCAGAATCCTAGGCCTGCAAGGGAGCCATCGGTCTGACCTTTCCAATCGATAATTGGCCGTCTAGCTTTCACATTTGTCGAGCGAACCATGCATCCGAAATTTGGTCTCTCAGCGGGAGTAATGTCCGAATCTGAGATCTGATCGATTTCATGTGCTAGTGGGCTATAGTACGTCTTCGGCCGAGTCTCAAAATGTTAGTGGCGCAAGCGTGTGGTCTCTGCTCTGGTGTGAAGGCCCTCTGCCGACGAAAGTGCTGGGAAGTCTGGCTTCTAGGCCTATTCAGGTTACTCACACTACCCCTGTCCCGCTAATCTGAGAGAACCACTGCGGAGACGGTTTCCG